ACTGTCAATTAAGGAAAATTTACCGTACCCTTCGGTTATCCTACTTTTAATCAGTCGTTTCTTTTTTTGTTTAATTTTGGTTTAGAAATGATGAAGAAATACTTTTTTCTTGCGCTACTTTTTGTCCTAATTAAAATATTCTAATCATCAGCAAGCCACATTTCATGTCCCCTATGGCGTTGTTTCTTTACATAATAAAATTACTCAGTCTTCATTTTCCCCTCGCGATTTGCTTTCGTTACAGTATAAAGTACAACATGAATTCTGTTGAGATGTTCTTCTTCTTATTATTATTATTATAAACATAATAAGGGGTTTTTACTAACAAACACGACTAGTGGTAGGATCAAACGTAAAAAGAAATCGAAATGTAAAAGTTAAAAAAATCGCCTAGTAAGGAATCTATTACACTAATAAAGAGCCAAGTGAAAACAATGGTAAAAAAAGGTTCAGTTAATAAAAAATATATATCAAAATACTTACCAAGACTTTTGGCACCAAGATGGTCGAGTGCGGTAAAATCTTCAATTTTTTTCCAACCTTAAGCTTTCTAAATTGGAAAATTGTGTTTTGTTACCGATTTCTGTCATAGATACTGTAGATAGAGGAGTAAGTGTGCGTCAACACAAAATAGAAAATAATGTTAAAATCAGATGTTTTTAAATAAAAAAGGTCTGACCAATCATAGACTATATCTGTGCTATTTGTCAAAGCCACGTGTCATAAACTTTTCACATTCCCCGCGCTTGATATGATTAAAGGCAACGTCTTTTATTAAATAAAATAACGCTAAATGACCCAAACTCTTTATCGCCTTTCGTCAGTCTCGCTTTTCATTGCCTCGGGTAAATGAATTCTAGTCTGATAGCAAGGCTTGATTTAAAAGGATGAAAAGGCACGAAACATCCCTTTTCACTTCCGGAAGTTCCCCCAAAACATAATTACAAACTTTTCCTATCAAGATTTTCCATTTTGACCGACTGATGAAGCAGCTATTGAACACAAAAAGATGGAATAACTTGTAAAATGCTCATGGCCGTAGCGGTAGTAAAGCCGGGTGGCTCCATGTCCCCGCCCCATCCCATCCCACTTTTTCGCGGAAAAGACTTAATATTTCGAGAAAGGATACCCAGGGACTTCCCCTAAAAGAATGGGCCCTCCGGCCCATTACAGTTAAGTGCGCCACCATTAAAGCTAACCTTCGGGCCGTCTCCGCACTTTCAAGTTCGTTTCTACGCTGCTCGCGACGTTTGCTTCCCAACATATATCCCTAAGAACGTCTTACCCATGATAATTCAGAGGATAATCCAAGTTATATTGTTTAAGATGCTCCCTAACGGATTAAAAACATTGAATATTCAATGACCTTTATGCGTGCTCTGATCGTGATCAGTTAGCTTGAGCATCTGATTTATTTTTTTTGAAATTAGTTTTTGTTTCTAGACCTATTATCTTCGGCGTTGTTGTTAGTATTGTGGTAAGTTAGCTTGACAGCGAGTTCTTAACCCCGGAATGTCTGCAGAGGTTTTTAATAAACGTTTTGAACCTACTCGTCCTACTCTGTTTAATTAAATCGGTTACTTTTTACCCTTCACGACTTGAGAAAAGCTTGTACATGACTTGTGTCATGATCACAAAGATTGGTATCTAAGAGGAAACAAAATTCGCATAAATGCACCGTCATGACATATCAGGGCAACTTTGTAATATCGCATCAAAGTGCTAATACTTGAGTACTAGACTCCTTGATGGCAAAATGTATTTCGATTTTTGAGATTTGAAATTTAATTCTCCGGTATATAGCTTTCTTGCGGGTGAGTATTACACCCAGCCCACTGTCTACCAAGCGACGGTAACCGCCTCATAATGCCAGTTTTTCAAGAGAGAATCATCTTTCCGTCGTTTTTTCTTTATTGACTTGATTGTTAGGATCGGATTTGGGAAAGGAAACGAAGCAAGTAATCTAGCTTTGAGTTTGACACCGTCAGTTCCAGCTTGGCTTGATGTAAGCTCCTAGCACATCAAAACTGAAAATCATTATATGTGTTTTCGTGAATACATTTAAAACTTTAAAAAAAAGTCATGTATTCATCCAAGATTCTTTTAAAAAAATGCAGTCAAGAAATGATAATTTTCCTTAATGTTAGTGTGAGCGGCTAGCTAGCCTTGAGGGATTTCCACCTTATAGACAGTTTAATTTACGCAAAGATGTTATATTTGTAATATTTTTTAATTTGGTTCAGTGTTAGCCGTTTCCTGTTTTGCATTTGTACTTTTGGTACTCATACTCCACGTAATTTATGTACAGCATAAAATTTAAATACCTTCGTTGTGGTATTTGTGAAGCGAGATTATGTTTGAAGTCACGAATAAAGTTATCCATTCAAAGTCATTGCAACATTGCAAATTTTGCTGGACCTAAAAGGTGTCACTTCAACCAGATCGGGAGTTAGAGATTGTGGACTATTTCCTCGAAATATAATTTGAAAAAAGTCCGATGAGAAATGTTTTCGTTTCAATATAATGTGTGAGAACGGATGCTTGAATCTCTGAAGGCCCTTATCGCTATGTCCACTAAAAAAGGGTGGAGCGAGAGAGAAATTCTCGTCAGTTTGCCTGAAGTTCTGTTGCATGGATCAGGATCGTTAGCTTAATCAGTCTGGTCCGCTCTCAAAGTAAACTGCGATCAGCCCAAATTTTTAGCATTGCTTTTTCTAAAGTGAAGGGAAATTTTACTGTATTCACTATGAATCGAAACGACAGTAGAAACTGTCGCTATTTTATCCAAGATCGCGTGGTTTGACAAGTTCACAGGAGCGTAGCTAGAAATTTTCCAGAAGTGGGCACAGTTTTCCAAATCAACCCTACGGCTCCCAAAGTGTCTTCACACAGGTGATGACTCGATTGAGTTTTCGCTTTTTATTAATATGGAACGTGAAGACATGATTTAAGACTGAGCTGTTGAAGCTTTCGACGGACTATAGTATAATCAAGGAAAAACATCTCATTACATTTTCTTAGAAAAAATAAAGACACCCGGTAAAGGAAACTAAAGAAATTTGGCATCAATTTGGGGGACACCACTCGGCGATTGGCATGACTGGCGACCATTAAGGCGTGGTCAATTTAATTCCCCTCTTCTCTCCAGATAAAAAGAGCTGAAGCCTACTGGGGCCAACACCACACACAACAGGCAACGCGTTTCAGCTGCATCCTTCCTAGTCCAAACAGTGAGGAAAAATACCACAACGTAACTATTCGCCGTCTTTCACGATGCCCATAATATATCTTGTATTCCCTCCAAATTTACACCTTGTTTATTCCACAAAATTTTGTTAAACACTTACAATCTATGTCACTATCCGGCTATTACAGTGACCTCATGCAAAATGCTATGACGAGTTATAACAACATTTGAAAACGATAGACTTTTTGCAGTCTCAACACATCCGTTAACGGGACAAAAAATCGATAGTCAAGATAATCTTCTGTTCCTTTGCTTTGTTTTTCTATTTCTATTTATTAGTATTATTATTTTGCATTTTATCGATCTTCGAACGCATGTGCATAGTGGCGTACAGTTAGCCACGCCCCTGGATTGTTAAACTCTTCTTCTTCCGGACTGAATAACAAGGAAGATGACAGTTTCTTATGGCTAGGAGTATAAACTCAGGACCTCAAAATACTACTACAAAATAATTTGTAATAGTGATTGATAGATCGAGGTTGCCAACCTTTGACGGAACTTTACCTATTAATCGTTCAAGAAAGTCACGCTTGACTGAGAGACCGCTAGGAGATAACGTTCGCTATCGGCATGTAACAGTCGCACAGATCGATTAAGTTAGTGACGACAGCAGAACTAGGGTGCGTTTGTTCAAAACAAACGCTAGTTACAACTTTCTTTTTTCAAATTCGTTATTGTTAACTGGTTCGAGCCATAGTCTGGCGTTTTTGGTAACGACAAGTAATCAACATTTCAAACGTCCGATAACCTAAGAATATCAAGGTTCACGAAGGATATTGTATATTCATCTGTTTCAGCTCATCTAAGACACGCAAATCCGGGCGCAAATCCTTTATGGAAATCAATACATTGTCTTGTAGAGCATGTCAAAAATATTGACCACACAAATATTGGGGACTAATTTTTGCCCTGGGATCAAGTATGGTTGCTTCTTCAGTCCACGGTACAGTCGACTCCTGGTAACTCGAACACTCTATAACTCCAACCTCCCGCTAACTCGAAGTAATTTTCATTTCCCTTCAGATTAATTTTACCCTCGATAACTGTAACTCCCGATAACTCGAACTTTTTTATATTTCCCTTGAAGGTTCGAATTATCAGGAGTCGAGTTGATGTAACTTATGAATTAACTGAATTTGGGAATGACGTAAAGGGTAACTACGCAATTAAACGCCTTTAAAAATTGCAATTAATAAGAATGTGATATTGATTTTTTTGTTGTTTGCATGATCCAAAGAGTGCAAATTGGAGTTCGAAATTAATGGTACATTCAATCGTAATAGCCGTCGCATTTTTCCTGTTGGTTTTCAGAAAAAACCTCAAAAGGCAAATGCGACGGCTTTACGCGTATGTTGCAAATGAATCAACCTTAAGTATGATAATGAGGATTCTCCATTTAAAATAAATGGTATGTATAGAGGTCTAATGATGTATATCTTTTCTGCATGAGCACAGAGCTTGTTGCAGAAAAAAGGACAAACAGACTTCATCAAATATCAGTTGAAATATTTTTTAAACATCTAAAAATGGTTTCTCCGTTGTTCAATGTTGGTCTTCTTCTGGGAAAAAAATGCCAAAGAAAACAGAAAACGAGCTGTTAGAACGGAGGTAACACTGATTTTTTTACGTCCTCACCACCAAGTAGTCGTCCAAAATTGGTGGGCAGTTTTTTAAATCATTACTTTTTCCATGAAATTTACTTGGCGTTTATGTGCCTGCGGATCTTTACCAAACTTGTTGGAAACTGAAGACCATGGGATTTCAAGTGCACCCAGTCATTCAACAGAGGATCTTGTCCTTATGGATACCCGCGGACTGTCTACCAGGAAAAACCCATTATGGTTGGGTTGGACGGGCTGCCAGTAGTATTCGTCGTTGGTTGCTGTTGTATGCTGCTCACAAAGTTCAAAAGGGAGGAGTTGATGACCCCAGGGATCAGAATGCTATCAAAATTGGAATGGATCTGTGGGATCGTCCTAGCCTCACATCAAGGTTTTGTAGCACAGTCATTATAAAGATTTGTTCACTGAACTTGCATGCATCGTCCGGATGCAGAAGATGCTACTTAAGATACTAAAAACGAGTATCTAGTAGACACTGAGTATCTACTCTTCTGAGCAAGGGAACAATATTTAATTTTGTAATTTAGACTGCGAGATTACATGTTTGTTGGTTCATATGGTCTACTTGAAGATAAAAGTTCCCAAGATTTGTCTGTGTTATGATTGAAGAGGGAGTTTGAGGCAATATGCGTTAACGGGGTACTTTGCGCTGCTTTAAAACTCCAGCTGGTTCACGTTGAAAAAATCGGTCAGAGCAACGGAGTTTGGTTCCGCAGAAATGAGTTCTTAGCTTTTCTACCCTGATAAATTTTGCCAATTATTGAATGAGGCTGAGCATGATCTAAAGTTAATACCGCTAGTTCCTCCCAAAGTAATCCGGAGCCTCCTATTGTAGGAGGCTCTAGGTCAGGTATTAAGAAGTCTAGCATGCTTTAAGTCCGGACTAAGAGTCTGCAGGCTCCAGCTACCGCCCTGGAACGCTTCTCTCGATCGACCTCGGACGTCTGAGAATTAAAAACTTAGCCTATGTGGCAGGCACGCTTACCACGCAGACTCACAAAAGCCGAGTCTAATAATTCTGAGAAATAGAATGGCAGTCATCACCATGCAACACTTGCGAGATCATATAATTTTTAACGTTGTTTTATTCAATTTGTCCCTTTATCAAAAATACCATTATACGGTTGTAAAAGTACATCTCTTCAGCTATTTTTTATTAACACTGATGTTCTAGGGCAAAAGATCTTACAAAATAACACAAGCTCAAACTTCTACGGTTCTATTTACAGGACAAGAGGAATGAACCAGATGTAAAGTGTTCTATAAGAGAAGCGAGATCATAAAAACTGTTATCTCCTTACTGGGAAGACGCAAGCCAATTTCGATGAGTTTCGTTATCTTTCGTGACAATACTGAACGTTTTAAAAGAAAATTGAATAATTATTTAAAAATGACAAAATTAACCTATTTTCGGTACAGTGTGTATCAAGGGTCTCTCTAAATAAGCTCCGTTTTCCGGCGACATTTTTGCTCACTTCTATTACCTTTGTAAAACAATATCAATATGTTATTACGAGAAAGCTAGCTTGCTGCTTTAAGACCCCAGGCTTAGAAGAAGAGACCCTAAATTCTATTTCATAGCGATGTGTCGAAGGCAAAAAACAATAGTTACCGTCGCCACGAACATCCATGTGCGATCACCTCTCGTAAGCGACCACCTCCCATAAGCGACCATCTATTCAAAGTGCACCAAAAATTTCCCAGTTAAAGCACCAAATCTTGGAACCTCTCGTATCCACTCTCGTAACTAACCGCGACCACTTTTGGGGTTGATGGTATTATAATTTTCCAACATTTTTTAACCTCTCGTAGGTGACTACAAAACGCATGACCTAATCTCTATGTTTGCAGTATGTACTACGCTACCAAGAGTATGCGATGAACTATTTGTGTGAACATGGAACTACAGGAATCGTAACTTAGCAATTGACTTTCGATAACTCTGGACCTCTTCTTGAAAGAGACTCTTCTGGTTTGAATCTCTTAAGCGACCACCTTTCTTAAGAGACTACAAAATCTTTGCATTTTGGGTGACCGCTTACAAGAGGGTTGACCGCATTCATGGGCCACAAGCTATTTTCATTGTGTTCATTCCCTGAGACGTACTGTCAACGTCGAATTGAAATGACATGGAACTAGACAACAACTGGCGATCTTTGCTCGTGGTACAATGAAACTTACTTTTAGTAAACAACCACCAGTTTACGCAAGTACGGAGCATAAAGAAACGCAGCTACTGATTTCATATGTAAAAAAATGCACGAATAAATACTAAATTCACATTTCCTGGTTTACGCTAAGATAACCACATGCACAATATATAAACTATTATCAAAATTAATCGATACCTAATATTTATATTTAGTAGATATCTATCTGCCATGGTTTTGTATAAATATGCAGATGTTTTGAGGCTGGTCCTCGACTACCTGGAAAGTACCCAGGGTTAATAACCCAGAAACCCCTAGGGTGCTTTTCTGACAAATGGCAACAACAGAAGTTATTCGCCATCTCAGTTTGACTATGCCGGTGTTACACCTTTTTGATTGACTGACAGAATTGTGAGGATGCACATTTCACTCGTAAAATCTTCTCAGACCGTTTCACCAGCGGCATCAACGATTTCTCAATACATCTGCTCCTCAACTGAGATAAATAGGCCAAAACATTCCCCGAAGAAGAAAATATTACAGTAATGCCAACAGCATATGAAAACCAAGCAAATAACGTAGCCAATAACTTTAAGGAGTCCTCAAAACAAGAAGCAGTTATTATTTATACATTAAAGTAAGTTATTACTTATACATTAAAGTAAGTTCCCTAACTTTACATAACAACCATTTCTAAAATTCAGATCAATACGCTAACGGACTTTCACCTGTAAAGACTCTAGCATGCCACTGCAAGATTGCGTGGTGGTTGAGCAACTCAACGTTAACGATAATTTCGCTATTTTCACGTCACTAAACTAAAGTGCTTTCAGAATGAAAATTTTAAGAGTTCTCTTTTTCATGACAGCAACACTCCGTTATCAGCAAGAGCCTTTGAAGCTTGTGACCATTCATCTCCACAAAACAGTGACCAGCTGCCTCAATAATAACTCTAGTGTACTAATACCTAAAGGTTAACTAACTTCAAGGCCTACACAAACGCAGCATGTAATAACTACGCAACTCTACAAAATCCTGCAAAAATGCATTCCTTGGTTGAAATGATAGTATGGTTTTAACCAAATATATTAAATAAATAGACAAATAACTGGTTTCAAATGAAATCAATACTTTAGTCAAATCCTTCGGATCTTTTGTTATTTTTGAGAAGGATAAATTCCCTCGCAACTTCGTCATTCATTCTTTGGGAAAGAATCTTGAGAATTGTCCATCCCTTGGAATCCATTTGGATATAACGCCCCAATGCTTGAGTACATGCACAGGAACCCATCTCAGCTATGGTCTTTAGATGTAAAACAGTCATACCAACAAGATTGTCTGTCCGGGCAAAGCAGTAATCCTTGGCGCATATATGAAGCTCGTAATTATCCAAATCATCTTCATTGCCAAGTATACTGTCAGTAAACAAAACAAGTTTATTTTTAATCTCATGTTAGTTTTAAATATCATTTACCACAGAAAGGCCGCTTCAAAACTATGCAACAAAATTTGAAAACGCAACTTTATTTATACGGTTAGACCTAACAGTACTTGGAACGCTCTTCAAAGAGGATAATTTTGAAAATGCAAAAGGTTTTTGTGATGTTATTCCGATCATCTGAGTGGAACATACCATGTAAAAACCACGTTCAGCCTCGTATCAAAGTTCTGCATAGACGTTAGGTCTACCGTTGATGAGTTTCATATGGTGATGAAGTTCTGTAATAAAGAGCACTTATGGGTAGGAGAAAAATATATGGTTACTTACAAGAAGAACGTTTCATTGTATGTTGGAGACCAGTTGTTGTTCTTTGATCTGGTGGAGTGTTTACGTTTCTTTGCATTAAGGTTGGGTCCCACGATATTCACCTCTACAAACGGACGGAACATTCCTGTAAAAAAAAAACGACATAACAAGACTTTGCAAGTTAATTTAACTAAATTATGTTATACAAAAGCACAAACGAATTACGCTAAGATAATACACCAACTCCAATAAACTAGATCTGACTACAGAGTACAGTCTAAAGAAGATTGAAGTTTTGCTGGCTTTTTTTGACAATGATATAGGACAGTCTTTGTAAAGGCGTTACCACAAAGTGAACTGATAATATTATACGTTCTACTAAAACACAGACACAATTTGTCCAATTTGATCTGTGCTTATTCTGGAATAATGGACGAGAGTTTTCCGAAAAACGTTCAGTAAAATCAGCATGAAAAACCATAGTCTCTAACTTAAACTACACAAATACCAAATAGACTCACCTGGGGACTGCCATTTCAAGTCTTTGGCTGCAACAACTGTAACATAGCAAATACGTTTCAATAAATAAAATACCTGCATAAATTGTCTCGGATTATCGACCAGGGCCCAGTTGTTCGAACACCGGTTAGTGCTAACCCAGGGTTAAATTTTTACCAGGGCGTCTTTTTCTTTTCATCAAAAGCACTGTCTATTTTCTATATTTTTTTTACAGTGCTTTTTTAGAGTATCCAATCATCAAATTGTAGGCAAAGAGAATTAAACTGAATTTGTTTTTAGGGCTCTCATATCTGAGTTCAAGTTTTGCACCAACCTTGGGTTACCTTAACCCACTTTAGAACAACCCGGCCCAGGAACACAAACATCAATGCAACTTCGATACAGAATATGTTCAAGTACCTTTCACTGTAACTTTGTGTTCTCCTGTCCCGGGGTGGGTAAACAAGTCAACTTGGACTGACACCTCCCCCACTGGGTCATCAACACCAGGATCCTCTAAATTAAGAGAGAGCAAACAGTTGTAGTTCTACACTATTCAGCAAGAAGGGCCTTAAAAGCCTTAAGATTTACCTTATTCTATCAGTTTGCTTTTTTACTGGTGCTTTCCTAGTTTCTAATGGATTGTCTGAAAATTTTTTAGCCTCCGTAGCAAGCGTTTCCAGTCGAGTTATAGCGCGAAATCTGGAGCGGGAGCAAAAAAAACATGGACGCAGTTTTTCAAAATCGTGGGGTTTGCGGGCAAGCGTTTCCTTCTTTCCCCTCCCCACTTCCCCGTCATTCCTTTAAAAAAAAAACGAGAGCAGGGTTGCAAGAGCTGCTTGAGCGCGCCTTTGCGAACGATGCGTCCGATTTTTAAAAAATCGTTGAAGTCTATTCAGTGACTGCTAACTCGAAAAAATGGCGAAACTCCATTAACCTCACGACAAAAGCATTAAGATTTGTTAGTTCAATAATCTTTCCGTCTAATAAAAATAATAACACAAAATTGACCCACTTCATGATTTTCCTCGGATTTTTAACCAGACTTCCGCCCCTTGACTTTCAGGAACACGTTATAACCAAGCATTGGAAGACCGCCAGTGGGCCCAGCCAGTCTTTAAATGATAGTCTCACGAGCTCGAACATGCCCTGGTTTTTGTCCCGTGTTCTTACTGATCTTTGCTACAGTTGTTATAACTCTACCTTGTGATGTTTGGCTCTTAACAAACTCTTTTATAAGCGAGTCAGTGGTCTGCGTGTACAGCGACAGAGCAGACTTGAGAGACTGCAGCTGTGAACACTTGTCCAAGAAAGTCTTCCTCAGTCCATTCCCAGATGCGTGAAAAGAATCCTTGAAAATGAATACACAATTACACTGGAACCTTGATATAACGATATGCCAAGGGAGCAGTAAAATGATATCATTATATCGAGGAATCGTTATATCGAAACTCTCGATATAACGATATGGCCGTAAAATAACCGAAACTATAGTTATATCGGAGAAAACGTACCATGTACTTCTTTACTGCATACATTTCAAGCGCGCAGCAATGTCCTTAAACAGTTTGCAAACCACTAGAAGTTTTTAAAGTTTACACAGTAAATTATGTGGTGTGAATCGTACAAGTGCAACAAAACTAAACTAAACCATTTGAAGTAATTACTTATCGAGTTCGCGTGTTCGTTGTTTCAAAACAGACATTGGCCAGCAAGTAATGCATTACTTCGCTTGACACACTTGCTATAGTCCTTCTTAACTCGTTTTTGTTTCAATGGTTTTGTTATCAGAGTTATGTACTGCCCAATTAGACCAAGTGAGTTGACAGAAAGGTTGGAGAAGATTACTCGATTACTGTAATGTTGTGGTATAAAATTAATTGTTTTGCTTAAAATTGTGACTGTGTTTACTAATAATATCATTATATCGGGAAAGATTTTACGTTCGATTCGCTAAATTCTCAGTCTTATATCGAGAACATCGTTATATCGAAGATCGTTATATCGAGGTTCTGTCCAATACATTTTACTGTAACTTTTGCCGGGACATAGAATATTCATCGTTATACCGGGAACATCGTTATATCGAGGAAGGTTACATCGGGGTTCCACTGTACAATCTCTATTTTGCTACGCAGTTACAGTAAGTTAGAAGGAGGGAGGGAATAGATGGCGGGGAGACCTCAAGAAAACTAAGGCTTATCTTCACTTGGGCCAGCACCCGTACAGTTTGCAGCCGGCGAACGCAAACGTATTTCCGGTCGTCGCTTCTCTTCACCCGAAAAATAAGGGAGAAGCAACGACCAGGCTATCCAGTTTGCCCCCACTCAAAAAGTTTGGGTTTTCATGATTTAACTTTTGTTTCATTAATAGGACCTTAACCACGCGTGCTTCGACACGCGTTTTAGAAGCATCTACTGGAGAACTCTAGAGAAACTTGCCAGAAGCAAGAAGTACTCTAACAGCAAATCAACTGAGCTTTGCTGGACCATATCAAAAATCCGTGGTGTTTTGCATGGAACACAACTCAATCGAGAGACGAAAGGCATGGCGATGTCTCTTCCTGGATTCGAAATCAGTCGTGTAACCGTTAACGGATTAAACTACCTCAATTTTTGTTTGTCTCATTCAAGTTATGATGAAAATAAATTGTTACTGCCGTTGTTAATTTTTCAATTTGTCTCATTCGACAACATTGTTTATCCATGTTTTAGTTGTGACCTCTCTAGGAGGATAACATAATTTTCAAACACATATCATAAGTAATTGATTACTAAACAACCCTAGTTGTTTTGTATTCAATTTGTGTTTGAGTAAGCCTGTTTGCAGATCAAAGTACGACTCCTTTCTTGCATGTATCTTGAGGTAATGTATTATTTCCCATCATACCTTAATACTACCCAGGGCGGTCTCCATCACTGCACACTGCTTATGACTCATATTTCTTGAATCCGATTGGCTTGCTATTCCCGCCAATTCCTAAACGTAAAAAATTTAAAGTTTGCTGAGCAAAGACGTCATAAGCGAGACATTGCGTGACAACATCCAAAAGGAGCTTAGTCGCATTTTTTTGAGTTCATATTCTGCACCGTACAATGTTATTTTTAAATGCAAGGGAATCACTCGCATATCGTTAAGTCAAACAGAAAAATACCAAAGCGATTACAGAAAAATGTAAGGGATAAAGAGTGATGGTGGGTAACGTGGGGGTCGGCGGGAGGAAGGTAACATCGATTACAAGCGACGATGGAGAAGCCGTGCAGTAGCTTCTTCGTTAACTAGTCATTCACAAGCAACATAGGTCTGAGGATTACAACTGAAATCACACTTATTGTAGCAAAAAAAACCTTTCCTTCATACACTACTACTGTATCTAAAAAAAAAACAGTCTGTTAAGGCCTTTTTTACCTTGATATCTGACAGTGGTGGAAGAACGATGATCTTGTCGATATTCCGGAGGACTATCTTCCATAGCTCCTGTTAAGATACAAGTCGATAACACAATTCGGTACAGACGAGGTAACGTCGAAAAACAAGCTCATAAAATTTAACTGATTTCGATTAAACATGCATTCACTTTGATACCCTAAACAAATCCTTACTTGACTATTTCCGTTATAAAGGAATATTTAGTGAATGAAAACAAAAGGAAGAAGCATAACAATATGATAATTATATTTACTTCGGTGATCCTTTAAAAGATAGTAACCGGTATAGTGACCAAATCTTTTACCTTCAGAAGTCTCTTCAGAACAGTCTTTTCACAAGCTTTGTAGAAAAGTTTGAAGCTGTTGGAAAACATTGTATGTTAGTATCAAAAGCAGGTGGTAGGCATATGAAAAGAGGAGGCAAGGAAAGGCAAATCCGCTCTTCAATCTCCTTTATTTTTCCAATCTCTTTTGCACATTCTGTCATGCAGTCTACTAGCCATATTTAGGTTCCCTTTGAGACTTGGTCGTGTTTTGTTCAATTGCACAGTTTTGAGGAACGAAGTTTGACTCAGTTTCCTGCGTGACCTCGCAACAGCCAATAAAAGAAGTTACAGCGTCCCAATAGTCCCATAGTGCAATTCGACACAACACAGACCCAGTCCCACGCGACCAATATAAAAAAAAACTCGCAAAGTTGCTTCATGAAGTAATCGCTTTCCAGTTGCTTACTCCCGGTTCTGAAAAGTTCGCGTTCCCTCTGGTTCTATACTGACTACCAGAGGTTCGTACTTAGCCTGCGAGCAAGCTTTCCTATTTGGGCGAGTGAAGCGAACCGCGAGAGAACGCGCGAGCGAGCGGCGAAGCCGCGAGGGACATAACTTTCTTCGACGTCGAAAATTCGAAAGAAGAGATCTCGAATTTTTTGTTTAAAAGCAGTTCTCGGCAGTCTGAGAGCCACTCCCCCGCCCTCCGCTTTCGCGTCTCCTCTCACGTGCCTCTGGCGCGTCTACTTTTCACGATATTCCTCAAATCGAGAGCGTGCTCGCAGGCTTGTTCGTACTTTGCTGTTCTATCCAAGCGTCAAGCCCATGATGATAACTGTTTAGGGCACCTACGACAAGGAAAACCTGACCAGTTTTTCAAATTACAGAAACTATACGCTCAAAAATAAAGTTGTTTTCTACTAATCAGCTAAGCCGTTTGTAGAGAGGAGCGTGGCGTGACAACGGTTGCGTTATAGTAGACAACACTTGGCAATATATCCTTTAAGCTATCTCACCTTCCTTCAAGAAGTAACATTAATGGATGGATAATACTTCCCGACTCTTTCTCGATGATGGTTTTGCTACTTGGCAAAGCAGGATTAAAGTTACCAGTACTTTTGATCCTGATAAATAATTCAAAAATAACACGAAATTAAACTAAACGAAGCCTGAAGAAACCGTCTCGTCACGCATTCCAAAAGTAAGGCGCATCGACTATTGATAAAATCATCACCGTTTTTAATTACAAAAACTTTGAGGTAACGCATAAAAAAAATATCTTTAATGACTGTTTTCACACTTAATAAAAACCGATGTACTTTGCGAAAATGCTCCATAACCCACAAATTCGAGCGAACATGACACGATAGACGGTGAATTCTGCTTTTAGTTTAAATAAAAAAAAATTGTTTTTCCTTTTTTGAAACATTATAACTAATAAAGCCTTGCGTACTTTGTGGGTCTGGAAAATGGATACAAAACGAACTGCCTTCAGATGCAGAAAACTCCTCCTACAGTAGCATACAGAGAAAACCCGCATACAAGAACCTAGAATTTTCGAGATCAGGCTGAACAGTTTCTTATATTTTAGGGTAGTTTTTCACAATTCAGGCTGATGGGGTTCTTAACAGGTTCTTATTTTCAGAGGTTGTCGTAGTGTAACCATCGGCAGAAAAAAAAATTGTATTACTAATACATAATGGTTTATGGAAAAGACATTTCTAGAGAAAATGTAAATCATAGGAAACATAAACACAAAAACTTTTTGTCAAAAGTTTCTCACACAATTAAAATCCAGAATTTTGCCATCAAAATTGCAGTGTTTTTGTTAGTATAAGAGCCTATTTTTCTTTGCCAGGCTGAACAGGTTCATACACTTTGGGGTATTTAAATGCCAAAGTTCAACCTGTACGTTCTTAAATCACTAGGTTCTTTTTTGTGGGTTTTTACCGTAAGAGAAAAAAAATAGGGAAAATTGTCATATTTTTCATCTTACTTGAACAGCGCGTTTCCAACGCCTTTTACACTTTCTTGAATTGACAAATCAAGGCTGCAAGAACAGACGAAAAAAAAGTGTCCCACATTGCATCATAAAATGTTTTCGGTTTAAAAAAAATCTATTAACATAAACCAACTGAGAATACAGTTACCTAAAATGTCGAGCGACTGACTAAGAAGCATGCTTGCCATTTCTTCTTTTCATTTTTCTGAGGCATATTTTCATGCACTACAAGCTTAAGACATAGAATAGATCACATGGTCATTACCACGCACCTTCGAGCAAACATCACGCACAACTCATCAAGCGTGAGATTAAGTTTCACTTGTAGCTCTTTAAATACTTCACTGCATTCAGGAGACAGCTATAAGTTAAGCAAGATGATGAAAGCAGTTACGGGTATGAATAGCTGTGGAAAGGATGGAACACCTAATCACTGTTGCTATAACTCAACAGAAGAACACTTTTCATTTGCACATCCATTACCTTCTCCCCTCCACCCATTGTTTCATAGAGTTTTTCCAGCTGAACGCGAAGCTGCTGAATGTTGTTCATCAAAATACAAGCTGTTTCTCTCTGGTCACACCAAGCACTGAATTCTTTGACAATTTTATCAGCATATTGAAGCAAGACATTCTGTACAGTCTGCAACGAACAAAGAATAACCTTCTTTTTCCAGTACTTTTCATGCCCGCACACTGTCACTAGACTTAAGAACTAAATACGATGGTTCTGACCAGAATGTGGCGTTAAGGAAAAAAACAAACACAAAAGCAAGCAAACAAAGCAGAGTAAAAACAAGAAACAGAAGACATCTAAACACTCATTACTCACAATAGTAAATTTGATGATGTAACGAGTCTGTATTTCCGGGTCTGGACAGTCCAGTTTCCGCACAATCTCAAAGCTCTGCCAAAACAAAACCAAATTTAGAAAATTACGTCAAAAATAAAAAGTAATAGAAGTAACAAAAATAATTTATGGTTTTACGCAGTTAATGAATGAAAGATTAAGAATCACTTTTATGGTAAACGGTAAAAGCGAGTTTCAAGAAGACAATTTCTCAAGTTAGGAAATGAGCTGATGACAACTGTGAAACTACTTATTTTTGTGTACATATACTGAATAATACACGGTAAATGAAAGGAAAACTTGTTGGTCACGTTTTACAAAGTGACATTTGCCGTTTGCCGTAAATGTGACGAATCACGTTTACGGCAAACGTCAAATTCAACTTCAACTTCAACTTTATTTATTAAAAATAGTATTACAGTAGACTGGCTCGCAAAATAGCAATCGCTAATCTAGGCGGCCCAGTTAAAAGAAAAAAAATAATGAAAGGAAAGGAGGGAAAATGTTTCAAGTAACAATTCTTATTTCTATCATAGTTTTATTTTAATTTCCATTACATCTAAGGAAAAACGAAAAGAAATTGAAAGGAATTGATTCAAGTTGAGAATTTCTCAAAATAGAAAATATGTAGAAAAAACAGCTTCAAACAATTCTTAAGGATAAAATTGGCGTGAAACTACTAACTTTTTTTGTAGAAGTAATGAAACGTAAACGACAGGTTAAGGGAAACTTGGTCACGTGGTACAGATTCACGTTTGCCAACTAAAAAGGGTTGTCCACCCGCCTACCCAAGCTCCGAGCCAACCTTTCATACATTTCCTTATAAAACGTGACGAACTGTCTACATGAGATATAGAAAATATGCTCTGTTGGAGGCCGAGGGGTGACCCGGTTTTTTCATCGGTAGAGTCACCCTCTTAGCCGGGTCAACTCGGTCAACGCGAGACAATCAGAGCATGCGCGAACGCTGTTGTCTGCAGTTGGCTCGGAAAAACGAGTCAACTTGTTTTCATATAAACACTCACTAAGGTTGAGTCGGCTGAGTGGGAGACCCTCTTTAGTACCCGAAAAAACTTCTCTATAGAAACCGGGCCTTTTAAACACTCTTTGAACGTTCGAGCTTACACTCACAAGCAGAGTAAAATCATTATTTTTTTAACTTCCAATCACTCACCTGATTTAATGAACAGAAGATATCCACCACTGAGTTTGAGAACAAAGTGTGAGGTGAGCTGGGAGGAAACTGTAAACAAGACCATGACAGATCAGATGAGTCAGAATAGCTATCAACAGTGATCCAGTAATGTATGTAAGAAACAAGACAACAAGCACTCACATTATCCCTCTTGTCTCGATCTAGTGCTCCAATCATAAATTCGGTTGAAACTTCGTCATTCTCAGTTAACCACTGAGAAACAAAAGGCTCAAACCAGCTACAAAGGAAAAATAGCAGTGTAAGAAAACTAGATAAACTATATTAGCATGCGTGACATGCGGGGTGGCCCACTTGGGTTTTCAGGGCCGCTATCATTTTGCATTGTAATAGTGTAACTGTAATGACTGTACTGGTTTAAAAACACAGTGTCTGACGAAACGGCTAGTAATTAAACCTTCTTAGCATTTGAGTAATCTTGACTTAGGGGGCCAATTTATCGTACAAACATCAATAATACGAACCTTAAGAAAGTTCCACGAGTAACTGCGATGAATAAAATATTTAGTACGAGACTACAAGTTTTCAAACCAAATTCGTGTGCCTCAAATGAGCAGTTACCACACAAATTATATCCCTAATGGTTTTTATGTGCTAGTCAGTATTAACAGGAAAGAGTTATTGTTAAAGGGGTATAACTAGCTTCTAAAGTCGCAATCGTAGTCAAGATCCCTACTCAATTCAAAGGAACACATGAGAACATAATGCGGGTTGAGCCTCTAACATGTGGGCAGCAGACACGCAAACGCAAGTTTACTTCGCTAGTTTTTCTGGACCTGTGTCAAACCAGCAAACCCTCAGACTGGAACGACTGATCTCCACGAAGTCTCACATTTAAGTCATTACCTCGCATAATCTGGAACTTTTCCTTTGTTTTCTGCACACTGACTGGCATACTCATTATAAAACCATTTGACCTACAACAAACAAGCCACGGAGTCGGTAAGGAGTTTAAAAAGAGAAAAAAAACTTCAACAATGAGCTGTTGTCATCTACTTATCCCTTAGCACTTCAGAAATTATCCACCACAAAAAAGGAGATCAGAACTTTCTTAACTCATAAAGGTAAGGCTGAATCAAAGGATAAAACTCAAACGTTTTAAACTTTCTTACATAACAACAAAACGCACTGGATTTGAGAGGGATGTTTCAGAAATAACAGTAAAAATGCTGAGTAAGTATTTTATTGTTCAAAGTACATGTTCACCTTGAAGTGAAGATTCATGTAATCAGCACTACTCCAGCGAGACTGCTGCCTTAGGCTGTGCTCTGAAAAAAAAAAGGGTTGAAAATTAACAACAGATAGTGGGATCCCAATATGAAAAAATATATGTTATGCCTTTCCAAAAGTCAGAGGCTACAATTAGAGTAGACGTTTTGTCTAATGTTCACTGGCATTAACATATAATTCTTCCGAATCAATATTAATGTGCACTAATCATAAACTGTAACAAAACTCTCTAATCTGAATGGCTACTGATCAACAGCTCTGATTTATGCATTAAAGGACTATATAATAGGACAGTGAGCATCATTGCTTTCTTACTCTTGAATGTTTTTTTGTTTTGTTTTTTTTTTTTGACACGCCTAGTAAAAAAGAAAACTTCCGGACGATCTTTTGTTTTAATTTTAAAATAATTTAAAAATTTAAATTTTGTTCTAATTATGAATAACTAGTAACAAAACATCGTATCTTCCTTCTTGGTCTTTAATCAATTCGTCACAATGTTCTGGGGTTCCAAAGCTCTTAAAGCAAAAGGTGTTTCGTTTGGTGTTTGAAAACAGTGAGTATTGTTATTTACAAAAAATAACAAAAACTACTATTGTACATACCTTTCAACATATCCTGTAAATCAGCAGAGAACAAGTTCCAGAACACCTGAGCACTGACTTCACCAACATTCAGCTCCGTTGGAAACCTGGAAGCAAATGCATGAATTGAAAAAAGAGAATAAGGTCACAGAGTAAACACTACAGAATCTTAACCTTGTCTGCAAACCGACTCTTCCCTTAGCTTAAACAAGAAATGACTAGTTTAAGCTGTGACGTGTGTTTGTGAAAGGAATTCTAAATTAAAACTGGACTTTTAAAAGAAAAACTTATGACTCCCGATAACTCGAACCGTCACTAACTCGAACCAAAGTCTATTTCCCCTGGATTTCCTTCATACATTTACTGTACTTTTAGCATCAGTGACTCGAACCCTCCATAACTTTTTACTTCCCTTCGGATCATTCTATATGATTTTACCCTTAAAATTCGAACCATGTTTTTACAGCGTGACGAGTCGAAAAAAAAAACAGTGCTAACCGTGTCAATTGTTTGTCTTTCATTTTTCTTACTCCAGTTGAAATTTAGTGTCCACCCCTGTACATTACTCAAGTTCCTTTTTCAAAAAATCAATCTATATCTCTCGCTGCCCTTGAAGTAAAGTGTGCAAGATATCTGCATTCCCTCCTCTTCCATTTCCTTATTTCGATTAATTATTTGCTTCGAACTCTCGATAACTCGAACTCCCATGACCCAATAACTCGAATTTTCTTCGAATCCCTAGAAGGTTCTAGTTATCAGGAGTCGGCTTTACTTTCTTAGAGTACCAAGAATATTACAAATTCATGGAAATCAAAAAGGTAATAAATAAAAGCGATTATAATTGGTACATACTGGTTCAAGACATGAGTGTAGACAACTTTGTCCTCTTCAATCACAGAGACAACCAGCGAAATTAACTTTGGCCAGAAGTCGAGGCTTTTTGGACCAGCCTGCGGTAAATTTGGATCCAAAGAAGAGCTCTCTGAAGCCAGCTCCCGGTCATAAAGTTCAGCACAGTTGGCATAAACATAAGCATAACTTCCTTTCATGCAGTTCTACAATGCAAAATAAAGAAAAAAAGATATGGTAACAACTCATATAATTTCAAAAACGTAACTTAAATTATCTAATAGACGCCCAGAGTGTCTATGTTAGGAGCTCAAGTGGGGCGTTAAATAGATAGGTGTTTAAAAGGAAGGCGTTTGTACTCATAACTGTTACCAACCTCCACAACACTAATAAGCTTTTGACAAATACAACACCACAGTCTACAAATACCAGACTATCCAGTAGATCCATTGATAGCCTAGGCCGTTTAGAGATCCATTAGTATTATTTTTTCTTAAAAGCTCAACTTCAAAGTCAGAATCCTTACTTTAAACTTAACACTAAACTTAACACTGAACAAGATTCAATGCAAAACCTCTAATTAATCAAGCAAGAAACTGAATAATTTAAAAGACTTTGCTCTATTTCGCTTTTTCCTAGTATTGTGGGGCAATTGTCATGTCATTCCAATTGTCCTTCGGAGTGTCTATTAGACAGGGGGCATTTATTAGAGAGGGCTTCTAATAAAAATTTAAAAGCGTAACAGCAGGGGCTTTATAAGACAACAGGCGTTCTATTAGATCATAATTATACAGTGTGTATTAACAAAAAGAATAACAAGCTCCAAGCGTTATTCTTGGGCCAACATTTTAGATATTCACAGAATCTAAGAGCTGATTTCACAGCCGTTATAGTCATGTTACACGCACGGCCAGAACATAAACACTACACTATGTCTTAGGTTTCCTTCCCTTGAATTTCTCACAATCAAGTCACGACAGCACTTTGTTACCTTAACACATTCACGCACAATCTCTGCCGTCCTAGTGGGTCTTTGACTGAGAACCTGAAAATGGTGATAACGATTTGATATTGAAATGACATTGATATGAAATGAGTAAAATTTCTATATTTTATGACATTGACGGCAGGCACTATTGCAGGTTAGAGTACAGGTCACCGTGGTATGGTAAATAAACAACACTAAAATTGTCTCCTCGCCCTAATCACCATCCGAAATGGAGTTGTAGCTTAAGGTGAAACTGCCTAAGTCACTTGTTGTTGTCTGTTCCAGTAGATGAAAGGTTTTTCAGTTTTATTAAACAACCACTGAGAGGAGAGGTGCATTTTCAATTGTATTGGTATGAAATTACACGCTGTTAGGCCGTACAGATGAAAATTGAGGTCGATGTGATGGCAAGTACAAAACATAGGTTACATGTGATAGGTCACAAGTGCAGGTCACTCACTGCTCTGTTGAGAAATAATTTATCTTTATCCTATCATCATGTAACTAAAATTGTAGCTGTACCTTCATTCGGAAAAATGTGACGCTTGTCAAAAGATCAACAGAGGACTTGAGGTCGTCAAGCTTATCAGGACTTGATGCTGGAAAATTTGTCTATAAATAGATCACATGATGCAGAAGTCAGTGGGACAAAAGTATACCCACACAGGTATACATGTGGAACCCCGCGAACCACCCTGTTAATACAACCACCTTGATATCAGGACCACAATCTTTCGACCCAAATGTACGAAACACTGGTCATTTTATTAATTTGAAGATCCTGTTGATACAACCATCTCGATATAATGAAAACTATTTTATGGCCCAACAGTGTTTGCATTAACAGGGTTACAGTCTAGTCTATAAAAACGTCTACAACATAAACTCACCCTGTAATTTGCAATGTCAATCCTTAATGTGTTGTAAAGATGATCCACAATCTTAACAAACTTTTCACTCTGAAAAAGGAAAAAAATGATTTTATTCCGTATTAACTGTGTGGTCTACCTATCATCAGCATCAGCACACTTTCGTTATATTAAAGACTTGTCCTTTATATACTTACCCCAAAGTTTGTGGAAGTGAATCGATGTGATGCAGATGTGGCAGAGTTTGCCGTCGTGTGAGAGAAGAAAGCATTGATGTTTGCAAGTAAACTGCTGATGACTGCAGGGACACCAGGACACATGTAGCATGTTGTGAGACAGGAAAGATGTCTAAAAACAAAAAAAACATTGCAAAAAACAAATCAATTTAGTCTACTGCCTCGTTCTGCTTTTAATCCAAAATTAGTATTTACATGTACTGTGGACCCTCGATATAATGAAACTCTATATGACAAAGTCCTTGTATATTAGAAAAATATTTTTCACCCCAGTAATAGTAAAATATATGGAAAAGAACCTTTTTTCCAGTCCCTTGGCCTTTTGTTATGTTGAGGATTCATTGCAGCTACTTATTAACCCCGCAACATAAAAAAGAATTTTTACTCACGTCATTGCTTGGTAAATACTTTCAATCCCATATCGAATGGCAAACTCATTCACTATCTCAAGAGCAGGTTCTGGGAAGAATATTTTCCAAGGATCTTCTCTCTGCAACAAATGTAAGCCAATCAAAGACAGGAACAGTAACCTAATATCTTTAGCATGGACTGCATTAAAGAAACATCAACTAACAGGTGAGAGTATACAGCAGCTTACTGTGTTAGCAGCAGGGAGAGGAACTTGTCCATTATTCCTTTCGCACAAGAAATGGAAAATGTTCTGTAGAATGAAGCAAACAGAATGTAATGTCATAATCTGACGAAAAAAAACATTAATATGTCAATGGAGGGCTCAAAAAAGGAACAAGACAAGAATACATTCTTACTCGACAAGTAACTTTTTAAGCTCACTTCCCTGTGGCAAAGGGTTCAGTCACTTCATCTTGTAACTATTTCGTTATTTAAAACATAAAAGCAATGGTGCTGGGCAGGTAAAATTTAAAAGCAACTTGTCCAGAGAACAAGCTGGAATGCAAGTTTTTTTTTCCAAGCCCTTTAAAGGTTATTCGAACTTATGCTTATTTACAGGGTTAACTGTTGTATCTTTAAAAGAATAAAAAAAGATTTAACAAATAAAAACCATGCAATTTTTGTAAAGTAAAACACACAGGGTGTTAGAAAGAATGGTGAATATAAAACCATACCCATAAAATGTAAAAAATAAGACACATTTAGTTACGACTTCCATTTCTCACATCTTTGCATTGGATAACTCAAAACAAAAAATGTAACAAGTACTACATTAGGTTCAATACAAAAAACACCCGACTGATAATTACCTCATGAAGGCAAGTATACTGGTGATGATAAGGAACAACTTTTTCCTCTCCTTTGATCTCAATGCTTATTCGGAGTCGTATTGCACCAGACACTGCTGATCTGTCAGTTCTCTTCTCTTAAGAGCACAAACAAAAAACACAACTGTTACATTAAATAAACTTAAACATTTCTACAGTTTAACCAAAAAAATCTAACATCAACAAAAGCTGAGACAATAGTAATGACACAAACCTAGATTGTACCACACATCCATCTCTCCACTGAGGGTTCGCACTTCAATGATTGTCTGCCCAAGGAAGTCATCAGGCTCTCGGATCAGTTTAGATCTCACCTTGGCTTTAATGTCATCATCCTCATCCCTGTAAGTATGAAACCATAGAGTAATATCTCAGTTTCTCAGTTTGTTATCTTTCTCTTTAATTCTCAAACCATCACTTTCTCTAACCTGCCAGTAATGCAAACAAAAATATTCCAGCTAAACTGTTTCTGTATCAACAATTATTTTCACTGTTATTGCCCCGAAGGGATTTCGCCACTCTAGTAACTCGCGCGTATATTAAGGAAAGTACTTACAGTTGAAATATGCAGTCAGTATGCCAGAAAAAATCTTGATTTGTTTGAACAGGGGCCGCGAGGAATCGGTAGGTAATGATGACGTTTCTATTGCTTGAAATGGTTAGGATGACGTAACGACAAAAAATTCCGAAGGGACTGCTTAGGTAGATTTTGTGACATTTATTGTGCAGTAATACTTTGATACTCTTTTGAGTTACGTGTTATCAGTAACATTCTGTGGGGCTGTTGTTTTGAAAGTTATGGACCAAAAGACACTCATTAAACGCAGATGAAGTTATAAGGTGCGTATAACTGTGTTTATATAAACACTTGGAGAGTTTGCCAGACATGAGTTCACAAATCTTTGGTTGGAAACTTCGCCAGACACTCTTTCTCTCTCTTTGACCGGAATAAGACTCAGCCCCAAACAAGCAAGACAAGTGAACAACAGCTAGCTTATCACTAGCGGAACGATGGACGATTACAGAAATTCATTGACAATCAAATTCTGTGCTGACTTATTCCCTGCTCACAGATGTCCTTCCGCTATAAAGTTTAAAATAAGACTAGAATGTGCGAGCGTGAATTGATCAAACATCCTTTTAATTTCTAAGGCCTACTTTATTTCCGGCAAATAAAATGAATTGAACGTAAAAAGTGAAAGAGAAATAGCGAAAAATTCAACTTCTAATTAAATCTTTTCTTATGGTTTAGAAAAAACTATTCTCGAAAGTGAGAATGTTTTGATCAAAGCTGTGTAAATCGAACTGAAACTATGCATGCAACCTTGCGTTTCCTGTACTTATCTCACAACAATCCAAGATATGCCCTACTGGAAAGTTTATTTTCAAACTTACCAAACACGAACTTTAATTCTGTCAGATGAGTTGTGGCAGTCACTGTACAAGTGAAAAAATAAAATGATAGTCAAAAGAAACGTAAAATAATATTATATTTAGAAAATGAGCTACCTTATAAGAAAAGCTAAACTTTTGACAGATTTCTACTTACAATCCAAATGTTTCATTCCATTCTGGATTAAGCTCATGTGGAATGGTCTTTGTCCTTCTCTTTGATCGTCCAATTTGAACTGTCACATAAGGATCACTTGTACCTTAAAATCAGTTTAATAAGTTACATTAAATTTAAGTCAATTATTATACATTACACCATTAATTTCATTTAATTCAATTTAAAATTAGCAAAACTTATTTTTATTTGATATTTGATGGACTATCAAGAAATAAAATATTCAAAATGAATCCAAACCTGTTTTGTCCTTGGCAATGAGGCCTTGTGCACTTACAACTATGGTAGAACAAGATATGAGCACAAGAAGAAATTATCATTAATATTTAATTATCTAGTTGTAGCAAGAGGAAAGACTAATTGTAGAAAAATCTAAATTATGGCAAAATCTGCTCATGGTCAATCTCTCGCGAATGCTCGTCACTAACTGAATATGATGTATATATGTATATATTTTATTTTCTATTTTTTTTAATACTTCTAGATTTCTCTATAGTTAGACGACAATTTTGTACAATAAGATTTTTCTACAATTAGACTTTCCTCTTACTACAACTAGATTTTACTTTTTGTATATATTTGAAATCCTTATATTTTGCTAAGGTAGGCACCCTGCATGGGTCTGAATGTCCCATTTGAGCGCATCCTTTTTGGGCTTTAATTCTTTATGCTTGTATATTTTCAATTTATATTTTTTTTATATTTTCTTTTTCGATTCGATCTTGCCCAATAAAGCTTGACATAACATTTTACTGTCAACACTGTACTATGATATCTCTTTATTTCAAGAAACACTATGAAGCAGTAAACAAATAAATTATCAATCTTCAATATTTTGATGAAGATACCTTACTACCCGCTAAAACGTTTTAAGTCCCAAGAGTGACTAACATCAATTTTCTCCCGACAATATCCTTACACCATCAAGAAAAAAGGTTAGGAGAAGAAGTAAAATAATGAATCAATTTAGGTTTTTGAGAAACTGTCCACCTACCCCTCCCCTATGCCAACATTTTGCTCTAAGTGAGAAGTAAGTGTTAATGTTAGCTTAGGGGAGGGGTAGGTGGACAGTTTCCCAGAAACCTAAATTGATCTAAAATAATCACCAAAGGGAAAATGTTTAGATCTTTTATCAAATTCTCTCACCCAATTCTTTCAGGCAATGTACGGAGAACAGTCTTGGGAATTTGTATGTTGATAATGGGGTTTAAAGGGTTAGGAAAATGAAAGAGAGCAATGTAGTGTGATTGTCAGTGAGCCCTTCCTGTCCACATGATTGTATCATGAACAAGTGTGCTAGGAAGATGACTAAAAGGGTACAGTGTCAGGGAATAGTTACAATGTTGGTTAATTGTATTATCACTTATGTTATATCAAAGTTAACACTGGCAGTGGAAAATCCCACCACATGAACTAGGGAAGTTTTAATAACATTCCATAACAGTCCAGTTTAATTTACCTGTGATAAGAATTTTTGCTGACCACTTTGAAGTTCCCTCCCAGATTAGTTTTTTGACAGCTTTCATGTGTCCAGCATGCGTCTTCGGCTCCATGTGAAAGACATCACTAAAATATTGTTCAGAAAATAATAAATTACAAAAAATAATAATATTTCAACAAAGGGAAAACAAAGATGTCATTAATTATATTTTTCTCTGATCACAGATGCACATATTACAGGGCACAAATTAAATTATGTTTTATCAGAACAGTTAATAAAGTTAATTTCCACTGTAAAAAGATTCAAAAGCTGATGTTTTTAGCTCTACCTATGAAGTATTGTATAAGAAGAGGTCCAAACTTTGCAAAATTGCCTCAGATGGATCTAAATCATTGTATTCTGCTAGTTTCACCGAGCTGACCATTACAGCGATATTTTGAGTGGTCGGAAAGTCTGTGGGATATTACAAAAGTCCCATTTGATCACTGTAAGAAATCCAACACCTGGGGCGCCTTCCATTTAGGCAAAATTTCCAGTTGGAAATTCCGGAAACATTCCAGGTTAAATGGAAAGCCAGCCATAGAGCCTCGTTTGCAATCTCATTTCTTGCATGAAACAAAAATCCAACAAAACGAATGTTGCAGCACTGCTGACAAAGAAATTGAAACATTATCCAAAAGCGAAAATAATTGATCTGCCATTACAAAATTCTTGCTTTTAATGTTTTTGCCAGCAAACGACAAGAAGTTTTATGTGAAAATCCCCTCAGCATTCTAGCATCAGACAGGTAGATGCCAATTAGAAATGAAGGGAAAAACTGTGACTGCCTGTGAACAAGGCTAGGAAAAACAGAATTGCGCAAATGGAACAGGAATTTCTGTTCCAACCCATAGGAACCATAAAAGTGGAATACCTCAGAAGGTCGTGTGTTTGTTCTGGAAAATTTTCGGTCGAACCACGCATTCCATTTGCATTTAAACCAGCCGAGCCAGAAATTTTGCCTAAATGGAAAGCGCCCCTGGACTGTTAGAGGTCATGTTCTCCTGGCTAAGAATGTTAACTACAGTGGAAAAAGCTCTCTCAGATCACAATGTAGCATGATAACAAAAGACCTACGAAACTGAAAAAAAAATAACTGGTAGCAGGCAATGATGGCCTGCTGGTTGGTTGTGGAGATCAGTTGCAAGTACATTTGTAAACAGCCTGCTGCTAGCATCTGATCTTACAATGTAACTTAACCTTTAACTAGCCTTGTAATTTTTAATCTAATATTCTAAAAAATACACAAATCCTGATGCTAACCATATGAGGTCAAATATGTCAGGTCTTGTTGCTTCCCTGTTTTCCATTCTTTTCTTCATAGCTGCCACAATAATGGAGTGTGTTTTGTCATCTGTACCATGCTTAGCTGATTTCTCAGCAGCACCTGTAAAAGATGAATAAGGTTATAGGTGGATAGAAAAAGGGATATTTTAAAAATTCTTCTTTGAGTTTAAATGTAATATGGGGTCACAAGGTTAGCTGTTATATTTGCCTGCAGGAAAGAGACTACCACTGCTATCAAGCAGCATCTTTGATTGAAAAATGAAGGAATAACAACACCATCTATTTTCTTCACTTTCCTACACAACTGCTTCAGAAGCATGAATAGATATCAAGTTGAATATCATGATAAAGACGATCTTAAACTTACGTTGTAAACAATCTGCATTCAGAAGATCTTTACATCTCTCATGGCACTTGACTCCACACTCTGAAAATTATTGAGAACATGGGTAGTGTTACAAAATGAGTAACAACCAAAGAGGTGTCTAAATATTGACTGGGGGTGAGTACAAACTTAAACATCAACTGCAACAACTGCTACTGAATGACTAATATACACGACTGTCAGTCTTCATAGTGTCATGGACCACATGCATGGCTTGCACTGCTCATGCCTCAGCTACAAGATCCTGTAAGCAAGCTCTCTGTTAGCAAGTCCTAAGACAGGAAGGGTTCTTGCAGAATAACATACAAGCAACAAGTGTAGGTGTGGCATTAGGGAATCACATACTTGTCACAGTGGCTGGCAGATTAACAACTACCAAGTGGCCGTCATCTACCTGACACACCATAGCTGGTGTGTCATGCTCAGACAATCAGTCTGTCTGTGAATGATTGTCTGACAGACAGAAAGTTCAGCAGTGCAGCTATCGGTGCATATTATGTTGATGTCTAGCTCAGTCTGTACCCGACTGGCTTATTAAGGCTGACTGTCTTCCTGGCTAATAATAAGCTAATAATTCTTATTTTCTATCAGATGGTGGTCACCTTTGCATTTAAGTCCTTGTCTGGCCAATCCCCAGAGGAGACCTTCACACTCATAACAGTATGCTGGCACCTGAGTTGACCAGATCTCAAATTTGTGAGGTGTGGTGTCTGAAAGATATCACATTATATTGACCCACATTAGTAACAAAATAAATAATTGCATAACTTGCTTGTAAGGAGTCCACTTGCTTCTTTACCTAGGTCTTCACCTATATAAAAAATATATATAAATGTCCTAAATTTAGCAGCAAGCCACTGTCTTAGTTGACTAAATTACCAGGATTTATGAAAACTATTACTAAACACAGTTATTTTTAATCCATAAATGGTGGAGATCCAAAAGGCATAATTATGTTAGATCGAAAACTTGAGGTGCGGCTAGTCTGAGGTGTGTGCAGATTATCTGCTAGCTTTTACAGCTGTTAATATTTACCTGAGATGGGGTAGATAAGTGCCTGAAGAGACTTCTTGTAAACGTGTAGTTTCTTGAAGAAACAATTTTATTATCATTACTAAGTAAATTAACAGAATCAATACAGTTTCACATGTATTTTACAGCCAATAACGATTGTTTAAATACTAAAAAGTAATATACCAGTGTGGTGGAGTGATTTCACTCGCAAAACCATATGATACCAATTCCCCTGGTGGAAGTGTCATTGTAACCAGTAATATCCAAAAGAATGGCTGTGGGTGTAACTGCTGCAGCCATAACTAGTTATGAAAACTGCAGGGAAGGGGGCATAGGGGCAAATAAATTGAAAAGGCCTTCAATTCATCAAGAAGGTGTGTATATTTTCTGGGAATACAGGGCAACCTGTAACAAGAAGTCACCCACCTGGACCCCTAACTTATTACTAGTGTCTGCCTAATAACAGGTGCACTTTTAATTGGCCGTAACAGGTTGACTTTGTAAAAAAAATATTGTAATGACAATATTTACATAGGCATCTACAATTTTTTAACATGGGGTCTGCCAACCTCGTTCCCAGCTAGGGTTCTCTCCAACCCCTCCTGGCGGAGGAGGGATAGCTAGGAGTCAGAACCCTGGATACAAGGAGGGAGTCTGCTCAATACAGCAGGCTCATTACACTGTAACTTAAATAATGTTCCACTTACCAACTCCTCGTCATTCAAATGTGCCCTCTGTGACATCATCATATGGGGTTTCCTTATCTGTTTTGTGCTTGATCTTGACTGCTGAAAATTAAGATTGGAAAATGAGATTAATATACACAGAGGTTAATCAAGAATTTAAAGCTTTGCGATGTCAAGTCTGGAGGACTTTCTATTTCCGACGGGGATGCTTTTTCGTTGGCATGCTCAGCATAAGATATCCACAGATAGTAACCTGTTGTCAAATGTTAACCTTTTGAATCTGGGTCATGAACATTTGAAACCTCCAAAAACTGTCTTGAAACCTGAGTGTGTACCCTCAAAAACTATTTCATTATAATTTAAAGACGATTGCAGCTTTTCTATGGGGTGAGTCAACTGTTTTTACAAATTTTTATACCAACATGGATAATATTGATGCTAAATCAATCAGTTTCTGCATGACCATTTCCATTTACAAAGGTCAGTTTATAAAGGTGATAGGCCCTTAGCAAAACTGCTGGTCATGTGATCACATGATCAACTTTCAGTTCATGAAAAAAATTTGTTTATACTTTTGTCTTGAACAAATGATTCTAGTAGGAATAGAAAGCACTATAAGAATAAGCTTATTAGCGGCCCTGCCAGGGGGGGGGACTCCCATGTCGCCCGTCTGAATTTTAAAACGTCTTGTGTCAGTATTTATAATTGCTTGTCGCTTATTGTCGGCTTTGCCGTCACTGTCACAATATGGCCAAGGGGGGTTGTCTCTTGTCGCGACTTCATTTTAGTCGTGCTGTCGTTAGTTTTTGGGCCATGTCGCTTGTCCGAATTTACCCTGGCAGGGCCTCTTATTAGTGTCAATTTTCAGGCCTTTAAATCTCAAAAGTAGCTACTGCCATAAAGGACCAGAATTAAAAAGGATTTGTGTTCACAAAAATCCTTCCCACCTAGTCAATCTTCAGTAGTGCTAGTCATCCACTCAAATCCTTGTACAAATTTATGAGTAAACTTTTAAACTTGCAAACCATGGTAGAATCTCTCCCAAGTTGTGAACCACAGCTCTCAGATGTTCTGTTATGAAATTTTTTTTTACTCTCTTCTTTTTTCTCACAGTAATATAACATGTGTTTCTTTTAACCCATTATATTCGCTCTTGGAGATTTTGCCGAAAAACGCGTTTTGAAGCTAGTCAAGTGGTTTTCTGGTCACTGTCATGCTATAAAGAGCTAAAACTTACCACAAACCTGTTTACAGGTTGTACCCTTCACGGCCTTCTGATCCAGATGCAAAATATCAGCTTGCGTAGTTCGCGCATGCTCAGAAAGCAAAATTTTGATTTGGGGGTTAAAAGTGACACAGCAGTCTTGACTTTTACTTTTCACTTTCTCTCCTTCCCTCTTTTTTCGCTTTTCTTGCCTCTTTTTTTTTCGCTTGCTGGGCATTTAGTAGGCTTCATTTCGGCGGGAAGAGTTTTTAGGAAAGCTTTTAGGATCTTAGGATTAGGTGAAAGGAAAGGTAGGTGGGCAATGGAACAAGATTTTCATGGAGATTTACAGGTCAATCTTACATGGTTTTTTTTGCCTTTTTCTCCGGTGTCCTTGACTGAATTGTGCTCATTCTGGTATGGTTTGAAAGATCTCTTCACTCTGCACAAGTTAGCGGACAAAGTTGTCCTTGACCGTTAAAACTGATGACATCACAAGGGGTAAAAAGGACGTGGATCCGCACGGGCAGTTCAGGGGCGAATGGGTTAATATCAAACAGGGTGGGGGGATGTGGCAAGGTCTTAAAACAAAGCCTTTCAATCAAAAGCCACTCCTGCACAAAATCTTACCACTGTCAGCTCTGGTGTGAAAATTGAGGTTACAGATCAATCAAGGTTTCTGGGTAACTGACCACCTATCCCTCCCCTAAGTCACAATTTTGCCCTAAGGGAGAAGTTAGTGTTAATGTTGACTTAGGGGAGCAGTAGCTGGACAGTTAGCCGGAAACCTCAGTTGATTGGAAATTACTGCTAATAATATTTAAACATGCTCTTTCCTTCATTTCTGATTTCATATGATAAAGTTTCATGTTAAATAGTTATTTCAACAACAAAATTAATAATTGCAAAAATTGCACGTGTCTCCAAGTAACTTACAACAAAAGGTATTGAAGGCCTCCTCTTTTTCATTATGGAGCTTGAATCTTCTCTTAAGTCAAGAAGTGCTTTAGTTTTTTCATTCCTGACAGAAAACAACAATAGTTGTCATCATTAAACAGTACCTTACTAACAGCGTACATTAGTACAGCTGATTCAACATTTCCTCATAGACCACAATTCACCTTATTTACCCCCCCCCCCCCCCCCCCCCCCCCCCCATTTTTTTTTATTTCGGTTCAAAAAAAACAAAAAAGCTGCAAATTTTAGTCCGTCACTTACAAATACCCTAATTTTTCACAGTCTGTAATAACTTTCCCCAGTCCCCGAAATCCCCTCTTTTCTCCCCCCCCCCCCCCCGCCTCCCCTTGTGATGGCTGTATTACTGAGGAAATAGGACTAAATAATGAGAAACATTTGGAGAAACTGGAAACAACGGTTACGCAACATTTTCGGGGGTAAGCAAGGTGCATTAGGGTCTATGTGAAAATGGAGAAATAGCAATTTATCATGACTTCTAATAATAATAATAAAGTTTTATTAACAGATCCACTGGGTGGCTCATCCCTGTTAAATTACATCAATAACAATTACAAAATAAATCAAATTAAGTTATTTACAAATTATGCAATTATATACAATTAAAAGTAGAAGCAGGTTTACCAGAATCCAATTACAGTAAAACTAACTAATCACTCTGTCCTCTGTTACTTAAATAGATTGAGTATGGTGAAGAAAGTTCTTGTGCTTACCATGATGATTTCCGAGATGATGAAGGAGATTTTCGAAAGCCTCCCTTTCGCTGGAGAGGTCCATTTTTCTCAATATCACTGTCATCGTCAGTCCTACTTCCTTCTTTAGGTTTCTTGGATATTTCTATTTCATGGTCTGTAGGTTCTGTATATTTAGTGCCATGCACATCAATGCCATCATCGATGATTTCAGTACCCACATCAACCTGAAAATCCTAGTAAATCAATTTGATCAGTTACTGATGTTTAAGGAGGAGAACAAGGAGAGTTTAAAGGATCAGATCGGTACATTAATTCTTTTTATTAATGGAAAGATCATGGATGATGATGATGGTTGTAATGATAGTTGACAGCTATGACGATGAGAGTATGATAATGACTTTAAGTCAGAGATTCAACTCTAAACAATACTAACCTACAATGATAGTACAAACTGTAAAGAACGACATGACAGTTTTTCGCACTGAAATGTAACAATTGTACTTTTTTCAAATATATGTCATTTTTACTTCATCCCTCAGTATTGTTATTAGTATTTATATTAGTATTTTGGAATGTAGTATTTCCTTCAGATATCACAGAAACAAACCACACAACTCCAACTAAAACAATAATGGTTTTGTTAATAGCAAATCAGCACTAAACTATCAGATTTAATTTTAATGCTAATATAATCCAAACAAATGGACAAACCTAATTTACAAAGGTAAGTGAATACAATAGTCAATTGAAGACTAAACGAGAGCAGTACGTGCTGCAAGTACCCGTTGTGTCAGAACTGTCTAAACAGGTTATTTCTCGCTACACTAGCTGATCTGCTACAGTATCTTTAGTTGGTAAGTACTGACTACCATTCTAAAAAAAACGTATTAATGTCACTGTTCCGTTGAAAACAGCGAATGACTTGGCATAAGCAAAAGTGTGACATAGAACTTCGGACCACAATTTATGTATAGCTAGACAATGTTTGAGTACTAAGCCAAGGAGAAGGATTGTACCATACTTATAATTAGCTTTGTATCGCAGCAAAAGAGACAAGAATGTAGCCTTCACTGGCTTAGCCATTCTGAAAAGGTGAACTAATTTGCTTCCAGACAGTGATGACAAGTGCTACAATGTAACTATTGATAAACGGGTCGAAAGTACATTGCATCACATAGAGATGCCCCGAGAGGCCGATTGCATCACGTTCCATTAGCTGCATTTTACAATACTGTTGTATTATAAAACTTCTCTTAAAATTCATTCAAGGCTCCCTTAGAAGTTGCCTTTCTTAACTGGATAAACAAGTAAAATCAGCTTATTATTAACTTCTCATGTGTAAACACCTCTTTGGAAACACTTCTATTTTCAGCATGTGGTGGCCTCCACTTCACTTCATGAATCATAGGTATCTCTTCATGTGTTTGTGGTTCTCTTGATCTGTTAGCCTCAGAAACAACAGATATTTGGTGATGTTGCTGAAGTGTTCCTTTTGCATGCCACAGGTACCAGCAAGAATCACAAAATCCTACAAAAAAGAAACAAAAGAAAAGTTCAGTAAATACATACCAAGAGGCACGTGGAATAATTAACTAAAATCCAAAGGTTTTTTAATTCTCTACAATGTATTCACTATTGTGCTACCATTGTATCCTAAACTTAGCATGGAAGAGAAACACATCCTTTAAGGGGCTAACCATTCTCAATAACAATTATAATAGAACGCTAGGGCAGTCAAAAACTAGATGCATTTTAAATGAAAGCAACTAGTCATAGCCAGTTATTTCTTCAAGTCCTCTTATGTTCAATGCTCTTGTGCCAAGCTAGTACAATCATAAAACATTTTCAAGGTCCAATCAGCACTGGCAAGCCACAAGCCATTTAGATGTGTTTCAAACAAGCCTGGCAATTTTTTTAATTTGTTGATTTCAACAATAAACAATACGCTATCATTACCGTTATCTGAAAATTATATTTCGTATTTGGAAAGTAAATTAAAACTCTAGTAGAAATGCTTGAAAAAATTGCAAGACAGACTATGATGTGTAAGACAACTACAAAACAACAGTTTCTTTTACTGAGTTAACGGAAAAAACTGCGAGTCAACTTTTTCTGTTAATATTCTTATGTTGTACATTTCCAGACGAAACGCATTGACAAGATAAACAATGTCACGCAATAAATTAAAGGGGATTCCTCTGGAATACACCCGTACAGTGATATAAATTTCATTACCTCTTGTGTTGTTCAAATAGGAAAAGATCATGCCACAGATGAATAGGAATACAGAAAATGTCGACTGCGGAACTCTTCTGCAACATTATTATTTACGATGACCTATAAGCACTTACCTAGACCGCAAACCTCGCAATCAAATTGCTTCGCTTCTGTCAGGCATGACTCGCAAAGATGGACAACTACAGATTCGATTTTATGCTGTCGTAACTTTCCCTAAGAGAAAACGTTATAATTTTTTCTAACTGAGAGTAGAATTTTAAAAAAATAAACAGCCAAATGTAGCTCTTAGTAAACCACAACCGAAAATAGCATAGTTAAACGAAAAAAGAGCACCATTTGTCGTGTCGTCTACCTTTGAGTGAAAGATGAAGCGACATCGCGGACAATATCTCAGTTTGCACTCGACACAATAAAACTCGGCACTACGATCTTCACACTGTTCACAGTCTCTGGAAAACGAAAATGTTTTTTGAAGATGAGGATCTCAGAAACTCCTGTAAATTAAACTTAAGCTTAAATTAAAGTAAAATCACTGAGACAGAACATACAGAACGAACGTGAAGTTTAAGTCAGAATGATTCACAGACATGGTATGTTCAGAGGAGTTTTCCCCTTGACCAAAAAGAAGGGTCCACGGCTTAAACATTCAAAATATTATCCAAATGAAAGCCCCCTAAGGAAACTTTTAAGTTGTGGAGGTAAAATTAAAATGCCGCTGAATCTTCGTTGTGTGACTCATGGTATTTGACGTCACCATGGTACATGACCGGAAGATACTTGGCGGGGCCTGAAAGAGATCTGGGTACCAATGGAATTATTAGCACGATTCCTTGGTAGAATCAACTTTCCTTTCATGTTTTTTTTTCAGACCAGTTCCTCTTTATCAAACCAGTTTGAGCTCTTCAATTTCCTTTGCTTTCCTCCCTCAACGGGTCCAATGGGTTAGAACTTTTCTCAAATGATTTACAAGTAAACGGGAACTAAATCACTATATCATCATCATGACTCATCATGACTTTATTGAAGTGCCAATATAGTAATTAAGTCGAGGGTAAAAACCCAACTTATTGGGGAAACTCAAGAAGCCAGCCTAGATAAACATTATCATCTATAAAACTAGCCTATTGGACGTTATATGTAATGGTAACAGGACTGAGTGGAGTCCAATTCGGTCTGAAATCAGGACAGCTGATAGCCAATCAGATTTAAGAATTTTGTTATAGTTATGATTAACAATAAAATTATACTGTGAATTACAATAAAATGACAATGAATTAGGTCAGCTTGTGTCGGTTGTTCTCACAATCAGACTTTAACTTGAGCGAAAGACTGACCCTGGGAGGGGTAACCCCCTATAAAAGTGACGAGCGTGCTCGTCGGAAAATTTCGATAACACCCCTAAAAGGTAACAGAATCTTGTTTTATGGACGTGTCCCAAATTCATTTCCACCCCTAAGAGGTACCAATTCAACAACAACAAAGTATATAACTGGCACTGCTAATTAATTTAATAGTAATAAAGATAACTTTCGAACACTTTCTTCTCAAGGAATTTTTGAAAGTATTGTCTTAAATCTTACTGAGACAACTCAGGCAGCAGTCATTTTAGCACCCTAAGCGGTACCAGTCCACAAATTTAAACCCCTAAAAGGTATCATGAGCACCCACGTCATTTCCATAAGGGAGTACCCCCCCCCCCACCCCAGGTGATTGACAAGACAGGTCTGTAGTTTAAATGATTGCAGCGATGGTAGATTTCTTAACTTGCTCAGCAGGCTAGTCCATAATTTAGGTCCTAGATATCACAATGAGCGTTTCCCATAGGTTACCAAATGAAATCTGGGTTGTGAAAATCAGCCGCTCTAAAGTTGTAGCCAGTTTTGTTATTTCCTTTTTTTTTCTTTCTTATTTTTTGGTGTATTAGGTGGGAGTAAATGTCTCTTAATGGATCAGCTGCTTTTGACACCATTTTAGTTCCCACAAATTCCTTTTTTCTTAAACATGGAAATAAGGCAGTGGAAATGGGATGGTGTTTAACTTTGGACCTCTAGCTTGTATTGAAATGAATTCCACTGATTCATTATGGCATTTTGAAGTCTAATATTGAAAAACAGTCAATGCAAAATGCAGTTTGATCTGCACTGCCATAGCTTATACGTTTCAAGGTGCATAATTTATCTGGGTTTAAGCCCCTCTTGGAAATAGCCCCTCAGTTTATGTGTCCACCTAAAACCCCTTACAAAGATGCATGACCCCAGGGCATATGAGCAGCAGTTTACAGTATTTGTAAAACACAAGTATGGTTTAATAAATGCCTGGGGTATTATTAACCAGCTGCAGCCTGCCAAGTCAAATAAGTCTGGTATCAACTAAAGAGATTAACCATTTAAAACAGTAAAATAATGCACACAAGACAGGCAAAAGTAAGCTTTATTCCCTTCTTTTCTAATAATCAATTTGGTCGAATGTTAATAGGAAAGCTAGGATAAAATGCACTATACTGGTTTAATTAATAATTTGATAATAAATTAACTTATTATTTATTCAAAATATTTCCACAATTCTGATTGGCTAAAATTACATGCATAACTCACCATAACCAGTTACTGATGACCAAAATAATGTGGAAGAATTTTGTGTTTAACAAGGAAATGACATCAAAAATGCAGCCCGCTACAGGTTAACCCATTCGCCCCTGAACCGCCCGTAACCGCCCGTGCGGATCCAGGTCCTTTCTACCCTTTGTGACGTCATCAGTTTTAATGGTCAAGGACAACCTTCTTCGCTAACTTGTGCAGAGTGAAGAGATCTTTCAAACCATACCAGAATGAGCACAATTCAGTCAAGGACACCGGAGAAACAAGCAAAAAACCACGTGACATTGACCTGAAAATCTCCATGAAAATCTTGTTCCATTACCCACCTACCTTTCCTTCCACCTAATCCTAAGATCCGAAAAGCTTTCCTAAAAACTCTTCCCACCAAATTGAAGCCTACTAAATGCCCAGCAAGAGAAAAAAAAAATGAGGCAAGAAAAGCGAAAAAAGAAGGGAGGAGAGAAAGCGAAAAGTAAAAGTCAAGACTGCTGTGTCACTTTTAAACCCAAAAACTATCTCAAAATTTTGCTTTCTGCCCACACCTGAACATCTGGATCAGAAGGCCGTGAAGTGTACCACCTGTAAACAGGTTTAAAGTAAGTTTTAGCTCTTAGCTTTATAGCACGACAGTGACCAAAAAACCACTCGACTAGCTTCAAAACGCGTTTTTCGGCAAAATCTCCAGGAGTGAATGGGTTAAAGAAGATCTAAAATTGGTGAGTTGTTTTTTTGGCCCTAACAGGCCTCAGTTTGGTCTAAAAATAAGACGGGGGGCCCACACCCCTCCCCTGGATCCACCACTGTCTTAAATACTTTTTCTTTGTGTGTTTTTGTGTGCATTTGATTTTTTATAAAAACTTAAATATCTCGTTACTTTTCCGCATGGCTCAGCCACTCAGCACAATTAGCTTTGGCTATTTATGAGTGGTTGTGCTCTCTTCATCTTTCACAATTATTTCCTTTTCATTACTCTACACCTTTGTGTCAAGAGCACAATAAACATTGTGTTGTTGTTGCTGTTGTTTTTGTTGTTAAGTTATATAAAACCAAAATAATACTTGTTGTATATTTTGCCCAGTCACTTGACATCTTAATGACAACTCTGATCTCTATGCCTCAATATGAAGTTAAATTTTACTCAAACAACAACTTCGAATCTAAATTGATTAACTAATAGTGAACTAGAGTTCTAAAAAGTTTGATAAATTTAAAAGTTGCTGGCAAATTGACAAAACAGTCTCTCTGACAGACTGCCGGTTAACTTTCCTACAGACTCATCACTGCCAACATTTTAAACTCGGTCTAATTTTCTCACTGATAAACTACCCTATGACAATCTCTCTTTGTTTCTGTCTAAATACCTGACTGTCTTTTTTCTTGACTTGTTATTATATAAAAAAATAATATTGAAAACAAGACTACAAGCAAACAGCATTTAACTAAATGCCAGACAACAATAAAAAACAAACATCAGTATTACTCTGTCACCGAACAATATTATTATTCATTTAAAGTTTCGAACACAAATCTTACCTCCACAGTCTCCTCATCTTCAACCCACATTTCATCATCTCCTTGTTCACTCTCAGGCAACTCAGATAAAGGCATCATGACACTGTCTTCTATTTCCTTTTCTTCCAGGTCTTCACGTATGTCATCCGAAGTGCGTCCTATGCTTCCATCAAAATGGTCTGTGTAGTTGATCATAACTCTGTCTGCTTCACTGTCACTAATCTGTCCATCAGAAACATCATCTGAATCTCTGTCGTCTGAATCTGGGTCTGACTCCAGAAAGGGGTTGTAGAGAGCAGCATCACTTGTATAGTAGGCACTGTCTAATTCATCACTTACTGGTTACAAAGAAGAGAATAAAAAAGACATTGCTCAGTTTCATACGCACTCAGTACCCCTTCAGTTTTACAATTAAAGGAGTCCCTATTTAAAGTGTCAGGACACTTCTGATTAAGTGCTAGATTGTCCTTACCATTTACTTTGTGTTCTCCTTTTAAAAACAGGGCCTTATTCCAGACACCCGTTTCTTGCACCACTGATTCTTTTTGTTTCACAAGATCTCAATATTATTATACATTTACTGTTATAGATATTAATATCAGTGGTGAGGAGCTTAGGCAGGATTTTTTAATACCGAGCAGGGGAAGAAGAAGGGTTATGAAACCAGTATCTTGTTGAGAGTATCCACCTTCCCTCCTAGCCCAAGAAAATAGCGGACATTTCTCGACACCAGCACTGGTTTGCCAGTGAAATGATATCTGAGAAATGGGTGCAGAATTACATATTGATGGGGTGTCTGCTTCTGGTAGGTTGTGATGCAAGGGAAATTTGCTTCAGCCAGTCAGAAGCACTACCCACATCTATATAGTGAGACGTCAATCATCAGTATGTAATTTCTGCACTTGCACCTCAGACGTCATTTCCAGGGAAACCAGTGGTGGCATAGCAAATGTCTGCTTCTCAGGCAGCTTCCCACACCAAGTTCCTAAAAATTATTGTCAACCACATTGTCCGGCATTTTTCAAATAAAAAATATTAGAACTTTGCCTAGGACATGATTGTCCTTTTTTGTAAAAATATGAACAGTTTGTTTATTACATTATGTCCCCCCTGGCAGGGTTAGGAAATACTTAGATCACACAAGCACTGAGTACCTTGTACACGCATTCATCTCATCCAGACTAGACTATTGTACTAGCTTATTGTACGGTTTACCAGCAAAGCAGATATTAACAAACTACAGAGACTACAGAATTCTGTTAACACCTTATGCTCTAACAAGGTCACTTAGATCAGCCTCTAAAAACCTTCTCAGAATTCCTAGATCTAACCTTAATACATATGGAGATAGAGCATTTTCAATTGCTGCACCGAAGTTGTGGAATCAACTACCAAGCCATATCCGTAACTCATGTCCTCTTGTGTCATTTAAGTCTAATTTAAAAACTTTCCTGTTCAAACAGGCATTTTGTTAGTTGCCTGTTATGGACCATAGAACAAGTTTTATTTTATTTTTATTTTTCTCTATTATTATTATTATTATTATTACTATTAATATCAGATAAATATAGATAATTTCATGTACATTTAATATTAGTACAATTTAAAGTAGTGACATTTTAGACATTTTTGTAAACGCATTGAGGGATACACAAAATTTGAATTATAAGAACAACCGCTATTATTATTAATATTATCATAACATTTTTCTACATAAAAAAAATATTGAGGGTGCCAGACCCTTGAGTAAATCATATCATAAGAGCTGTGATTCAAAATATAGACTTGTTAAGGTGTGCAGTGAAACTCCTAATTCACATTGCACGAGTGTGGTATTCATTTGTCAAAGATATATCTATCACTATTTGAAAGTACTTTATTAGTTTATAACAAATAAATCCAAGCTTGACTGTCAGAAGTTAAATATCTTCGCAACAGTGATTATCTTACCAGTTTTAATATCTTTTTCCCTTTGAAGTTTCTTGGATTGCTCCTTCAAGACTTCCACTTCTTGACTCATAATGGTGTAAAAGGAATCAAGCTTATTCTGGAGAGCAATAACTTCTTCCTCACTCAGCTCTGAGAAAAGCAAAATGGGTTGTTATTTCAAACTTAAATCCACAAAGCAAGCTTGTTGCTTCATTCTACAGTGTGCAAAAAAATTAGTGGTGTTCATTTACTGTACACTATGACAACGTACAGTTGACTTTAACCGATAACTCAAACCTTTTAGGGAAATCTAAAAAAGTTTAAGTTATTGGGAGTTTGATGCAAATGACAGGAAATAAGCAAATGGGATAGGTAAGGAATACTAGTATCATGCACACTTCACTTCAAGGGCAGCAAGCTCAGGCAAATGTATTATATTGATATTTTGAAAAAGGAAGTAAGCAACAAAGCTTCACTAAGATACAGGGATGAACACTGAATTTGAACTGGACTGACCAAAAAGTGGAGACAAACTAATATATGGTTGTTTTGAATTCAATGATTCAGACTTCAGTACACTCTTTTGTCACGCATTTAAAACATGACATGATTAAAGTTATCGAGGGTAAAATAAAGAGATGATCTGAAGGGAAACAAGAATAAGTTTGAGTTAGTGGGAGGTATCAAGGGTTCGAGTTACAAATGTATGAAGGAAATCGAAGGGAAATCAACTTTAGTTAGAGCTAACGTGAGGTTTGAGTTAGCAAGGGTTTGAGTTATCAGGAGTCAGCTGTAGTCTCAGGCTGATAGATTTTGTAGTAGGGCTTAAGTGGATACTACTTTCAAGGGCGGACACACATGATTGATGCAAAATAAAATGCAACCACAAGAAAACAAACAACACAAATGCAAGGATGTTATTAATGTAACGGTGAAAAGTGTTCATCTAACTAGTAAGGAAACACTGCCAGGATGCTTATTAAATGCACTTGCATATCTCACTGCATTTACATTTCCATTGGATGTGTAAGCATTTGTTGGGTTTGTGAACCAGTCCTAAGGGGTTTAGGATGGCCCTTGATGACATATGAAAAATTAGAGTACACACTTCCTAGAATAAACGAGTCAAGCAACAAACACTAAAAGTTCAACACATAACACATAATAAAGTTGAATAGCAAAGAGAGCAAAGAAATACTGAATTAATGAGGTAAATAGATAACTGTGCAATGTGACAAATATAGTAATCTATATTCAAGGAAAGCACACATGTTTTTGCTACATTTTGTGGTTTGCTCAAGGAGGTGAGTGTCAATATTACACCTACCAACTCTTGCTGAGTCTCATGCGTGTGATTTTTGTATCCATATTAACCACATTTTCAAGAGAAATATCTGATGACTTCCACCCTGTGCTAAAGGCATTTTACTGACTTCTGAACATTACCAAAAAATTCCGAAGATTTTCCAATGACTTCTGAGGGTTGCTTAATGTCTTGGCAAGATTACCGAGGTGAAGAAAAGATTGTATCATGAGATCTTGCTGAGATTAAGCCTTTAATTATTTTTTCAAATAAGGAATGTTAGGGGCAAGGAACTTGACCATAATTTTCACAAATTTATGACAAGAATTTGCTTGCACCCATGCCTTTTTTTGTTGACTCATACCTGATGGCAGCTCAAAGCGACTGTCTACCAGTATCAAGTGTCCAGATGACACCAGACCTTTTGATGTCTCATTACTCAATTGCACCCAGGCGCCACTCCCCCCCTCATTGGAATGGTGGATTTGCATCAGAGGAATCCATGCACTTCCCAAAAGATTGTCTTTGAAGAATCCTTTCTCCCACAACTGAAAACACAGTGTTTGATCCAAGCGGTTTGTTTCACTGAAGGTTACCAAACAAACAACAACAGTAAATAAGTACTGTAAAATTAAATGATACAAAAGTGTGAGTAAAAAGCCTTTCATCCCACTTTAAAGAACACCTCCCATTTATGGCACAATTGGAGAAATCTGGTTAGATGAAACCGGCTCTGAGCCACAAAATTTTAAAACAAAATCAGATGAAACATAAAAGGAACACAAAAAGTTCAAAGGAAATTTTCTACAATAATTTTCCAGAGGTGGTTCACTTTGAGCAGTTGGTGTGATATCAACTCAGGAATAATGTAAACTGCCGCGTACATTAAGCTCCCAAATCCACCCATCCTCATTATAAGTCTATCTACCTATAAGCCCCCCAGATATCACAGGGACCAGAGGAGTTTCGTGTGAATAAATGAATTACTTATTTTAAGTCTCACCTTGAAAAATGTCTATACCTGTCGCTTAGCACGATTAATTAGCCCAATGGGATCTTAATGAATCTACTGTAAATGACAGGAGTGGATCTAGGGGGAGGGTGCAGGGGGTGCGCACCCCCCCCCCCTCGAGATGACCTGCGGTTTTCTAATACAACTGGTATTCTGCAAAAAGAAACTATGTGGTTTATTGGTGTTGAAGTAGAGCAAGAGACGATTGCACCCCCTCCTAAAAAAAATCCAGGATCCACCCCTGAACGATTTCTTCGCTTCTTATCTGACCCAGATCGACTTTGTTGTTCGCCATTTTGAAATCAATAACTGCAAGCCATATCCTCGCTGGCGCACGGAATGTCGCCCGAAGGGTGACCGAAGGTCGTTGCCCGAAGGGCGACCGAGGCACAAAGTGCCAAGTAAAAAAACGGACAAGGGAGGAAACTTGTACCACGTGAGTTCGTTCGCTGTGAACCGCATCACTCGGAGACGGAAGTGAATAAGACCGGAAACTCAATAGCAACTCGACAATCAAAACATCAACTGCGGAGGGAGTTTTAAAGATCTCAGAGATCTATGCGAAGGCAACAGAGTTTTAATTGAAGTCAAGATCTTTCAAGACTGGACGTTTGTTGTACATGTCAACAGTCTTCGATGTCTTGCGCAGGTTTCGCTTGTGCAAAGGCTTCCCAGTAGTCGCAAAACGCACAGCCAAAGACGGAAGAGGTAACACTGCTGGGACCACCGAAGAATGGCGCAGTCGTGATGATATTACAGTTGCCTTGTACGTCCGCTCTACTCAGTATCACGTTTTATTGCAAGAGTACACAAGACCTGTAAATCACTATTCATGTAATTTAACATTCTCCAAACAAAACTAACTAGCTGGGCCCAGCGTGATACAGCATTGCATTAAAACATCGCTTAGTTATTCAGATCCTGAAGGCACTTTGGAGAAAATTGGAACCCTTATTCAGCTGTAATAAAAAGCTTCACGCTTCAAAAGAGGTCACAGAAAATGCGCTTGCATCAGAGGGCAAATCCTGCCGACCAGAAACAATAACCACAGTAAATTGATATGTGTGTCATGACCTCTCAGTGTGAAACATGCGGCTAAAATCACATTTGCTCGGTGAAAGTGTAGAACCTTCCAGAGCATAATCTACCCAGCGGAGGAAAAAAACTTTACTGGAACAAGCAGCATTTTGGCATGAGGTAACAGTCGTGTAGGCTTACCATCCCCTTTTATTGCTCTTGAGTACATTTACTTTACTACGTCATTTCCGTCACCATCTGTTGCAGTGCACAGCGAACGAAAACGCTATCTCCAAGCCATAAACTTCGGTCGCCGAAAATGAATTTGAACGCTTTTTTATGCCCTTTTCCTATAGTATTTGGCAAATACATCAGAATTCTAGATCAGTTTAGTAAAATCAGGCGATTTCATTCAATTCCATTTGAGTTTCAGGGATTCGAAAATCGGCCCCAAATTTGTAAGCAAATACTGTGTGTTGTAATACTGTAAGCCGATCTTGTGAGTCCTCAGTCTCTTGGTTTGTGGTCAATAGAATGCGTAACGAAACTGTAGCACGATCAAAACGACCCATTTTTTCAGAGGTTTTCGACAGGTTTTGATGTTCTAACGACAAAAACATCTCCTCTGGACCCTGTGCAGATATAAGCCAGAAAAGGGCATTGTCAATCATTTGCCCCAGTCTGTCCTATGACGGGGAACTTAAGGAACCTGGTATTCCAACCATTATTTCATATTGCAAGGACATGTGTGACAAGGTTTTTAATGCTGATCTCCGCAACAAGGATAACAAACTTAACAAGTTATTAACTGAAGCCAATAAGTCTCCATATTCACTAAGAAATCAGTGACACTTTGCACTTCCAAAGTGGAAGATGGACCGTTTTAAGAACACTTTTGTTTTGTCATCGTGCCTAAAGTACAATTAAATGATTCGGTTTTAATGCTTTTATATATTATGTATATGAATTTGATATGTTGTTAATTATTGATATATTAAGTTAAATATTAAATTATAAGTTATTCTATTTTTAACTTAGTTTAATTCGTAAATACCCAATTCAGCCTCTGGCCTGGCAACCCATGTATTTATTTATTTTAATAAACTATGATCTATCTAACCCTTCGATGTATTACAATGAATTTGATTTTATTATGATGCTTTGAAGCTTACAGTCAAGGCTGGTCAAGCATACCTCCCAAGATTCTATTAATGAATATTGATTATTTGAAAAATGAATCCATAAGTCATTCCCATAACTAGTGTCAAATTCAAATCCGCATTCCTGGATGCATAATGAGAAGTGAATATTTTACGAAAACTTCTCTGTCTTTGGTCAGATTGAAAATCTTTGAATAGCGAAAGTTTCTTTGAAGATACAGTGTAAATCCCCCTTAAGGTCACCTCGGTAATACAGTGACCAGGTTAACAAGGTTCCACTGTATTTACATCAAATTCAGGGAAGCTGAGCTGGTAGAAATTTCACAACTGCCTCACATGTGAAATCATGGCTCATTATATGCATGAAAGAATGCAGAGATGAATCTGAAATCTACAACTACCAACGGATTCAACTTTTGAATAATAAATTGCTTGGTATGCTTGACCAGGTTTGACTGTAAAACACCAGTATATGCAAAAAATATTTTGATCAGCCCTGCTACAGCTCTATTCTAGTTATAAGTGTCTTCTGATATAAAAGCCCCTCTGTTTAAAAGCCCTCGTAAACCCCTTACGCAGAGACATAGAAGGCTTATAATCGGCGGTTTACAGTCCTGAAAATTCTTGTTGCTATTTCTTCACCATTGGGAAATAACCATGGAAATGATAACCTTAATTTTTGCCAGCATAAAAAATATTATTAAAAAATGTTGGATCCCTTGCAGTAAATGTTCACTTGTGATATGGCAAACCTGTTACCTAGGAAGCCTTCATCTTCCTCTTAAATGCCCATGTGTGGAACAATATTTTTGCCTTTTCACCAATCATAAAACAGAGAAACCCTGCTGCGGCAATACAATAATATTATAGGTGCAAATGCTACTCAGTTCAAACCCCATTCTTCAAGTGCTAAGAGATCCAGTTGCATTTGAATTTGTTATTTTCTTGAGCCAAGTTCTTTAAAGACGAGTTAAGGCTTATCCTGTAAATAGCATATATTAGTTGTCATGATAATATTATTCTTAAACCCTGGCTTAAATTAGCGCCAATCATCTGTCAAATAACTTGGCCAAGGTCTAGAACTAATGTACATAGCCTGTTGCATACACACTGCATACTACAGGACAAAATGTAGCATCTTCCCTGAATCTAATTACTTACAAGACAAATTCCTGCTCCCAGGTTGGAGAGCCACCTTTATCGACCTCTGTCTCCAAGGTGACATTTTGAAGGATCACTCGAACAAAAGAACTCAATTTATCTGTAGCAAGTACATAACACATTACAATAAATAATAATTTAACTATAAAACTTCAACATGATTCGCTATAAGTTCACTAAAAGAAGGCTGAAACACAATTAACTAAAATATTAAAAGCTGAGATTGCTTTGGAGCATGACCTAGCTGGAAGATGCTTCCAATCATTTTGGAATTTTCGATTGAGCGTTTGTAAACAAAATGATGTTAATTCTCAAGGGCTCCAAAAAATAACAGGAATAAAAACAGAACTAACAAAACAGTTCTTTTGGTTCTGATTTTGATGCACAACAATCTCCCGCATGGATTGAGGATGAGCTTGAATACAAGAAAACAACAGAGAAGTAAACTTCCGACAAGAACATAATCTTAGATGCGGTACTATCTTGCGTGAACGCAAACACTACTACCTGTAGTTTATACTTGTACAGCGAACAAAACGCTTACGCGGACTTGTAAAAAGCAAGAGAAGGTCACCTACTTTATAAGTATTTTTGCTTCGTTTAACTTTTCGCAGAGGGGGAAAATTATCAAAATTGATCATGCAGATCAACATGACTGAACTGGTCCTTACATCACCGGAAAAATATCAAGCTTGAAGCGAATGATAACTTACCAGGATTACCTCTCAATTTGCCCTTCTTGACTGTTCATGTTGTCCATAAATGTTATACGGATACATGGAAGAAGAGCAGGAAAAAAATGACATAAGAAGAATTAAGATTACACGCTAACAGCGAACCATATTCTTAATTGATCCCCTAGTTGAACATTCTTGATCATGTTTTTAAATCATTTCTTGCTTACCCTCGATACACAAAATCGGCATGTTTTAACTGATATCCTGGTCTTTGGCAGCTTCTTCATATGAAATTAACGCCCCTTTTTGTTCATGATTTCCGATGTAAGTCTGAGCTGGTCTCAACCATCGACCAGAACCGACTAAGTCTAGTTAATGCAAGTGAGCAAGCGATTCGTATATTGACGTCATTGGTCGAATCGTTTTGTTACGCTTCATAACTCAGGGAGTGGGGGTTGTTTTGCGGTTTGACGTCACCTCGTAAGTACTTTTTTTTCCTCTATCTCAGTTGATCTCAGTTTATTTCCTTCCGTTTCATCCTTTCTGCAGTTTGGCAAGAATTTCGATTTACGCCAGTCTTTTTCAGGTACCTGAAAACGTGATCGGTATGTCAGATACCCACCAACGATAGTATATATGTTTTTCCTTCTTTTCATCTTACCCGGACTAACTTACTAGCTATAACTAGCAGCATCAATCTTGTCCAGATGGCTTGATCACGGTAGCCTAGTAATTTAGTCTTATCAGGTTACGTACGGTCAACGCAATTGCCGTTAAAGGAAGTTCTTTTTTTTTCCTATTCTTTTTTTAACAACTGTTCAGCTGCTTCCTTGCAATTCTATAGCAATTAATTGTTGGTAGCCATCACGGTTGCCAGTTTTGCAGAAAATACACCCGAAAAAAAACTCTACGTTAACAGTCGAATGCTCTGCGTTCACCTATGCCTGTCTATGAAGTTATTAAAAACAATAAAACAGGAAAACACGATAGTTTTTTTAAACAGTTTATCCGCCGCGATCTCAGCGTTCGTTCAGTACTAGTTGCTTGTGCAATTCTTAGTGTTTGTTTGTTTGCTTTTTCTATTGACTTCATTTTTATATGTCGCTCATGGGATAAAAAACGATTTCTGGCGAGAGAATTTCAAGGATGCAAGAGGCAAACTTCACTATGTGCAAGTTTACACCAGAGATACATTTTACGTTGAGATAACCGTAACTACGAAAAAAGAGACCTTTCCTCACTCGACTTCCAAGTCACCCTGTACTAGTGCCATTGTAAGGGAACTATGTAGAGGCCAGGAGCTCCTCGAGAGAGGCGTGTTAATTTATAGCGTTAATGACTGCATGCAGTATTTTTTACAATATAGTCAAACGTGCCTATTTAATGGTATTCGCGATTGTTTACGTAGATATAGGAGGAAAGACTCTTGAACACTTGAATGCCTGTAAGTAAGTTTCACGTCAGTGGTAATTATCGAACGCTACACTGCAAGAAGGAAAAAATTAACTCACAGCCCATTTTTGTTTATATTTACTTATATATATCATCAGAATCGCGGTGAGTGTCTATAGGTATAGTCAAGGCAGTGATAAATTTGATATTAGGTACAATAACTAGACTTTTGCCTCGAAAAACTAATCCGGGTTGAAATGCGGTTTTGCGTAGCTTGGTTGAATGGTTAGGACAATTAAGCTGAAGGGGTTTGTAATGCGAGTATCACCCTAATGCCAGGTAACAAACCAATATAAAAAAGAGAGTTTCTTAAGTCTCAAGTTTCTAGTCTTTCTGTGCGGTTGCTATCACTTTTGGAACAATCCTTCAGTACGGTTAAGTGACGCAATGCACCTGACAGGTCTCACATAAACTGCGCTAAAATTAAATCCAATGTTTACTGTGTAAAATTGAAATTAATGTACAAATCACTGCCTAGTAAGCTAACCTTTGCCTCGTATGCGTAATCTCTCACGAAAAGCTGCTTTTCCGAACAGAACGTAAGCGTAATTCAAAATGGCTTCAGGAATACCATGATACTGGGAATTATTCATGATGTGAGAGTGATTCCTGATTTAACTCAAGGGAGGACAGAGCTTTATCCTCTTCTTTTGAGTTTACTGGGCTTTCTAAAACAAAAATCATAACTATTAGTTGTCATTGTTAGCCATGAATTCAAAACTTAGCTCAAGAAATCAAAACGATATTGCGTAGACGCAAAAAATATGCCATTATTACAGGTTTTGAATTTTCACTATTATGGCTGACTTGAATTTTTAATTTCAAGTTCGTTCTGTTTATCAATATAAATAAGATTTTTTAATTAAGTTTACCTAGATCTTGAGCCAGAATTAGGACTAGAATTGATTGCCCCTTTGAAAAGTTAAAAAAAATTAAAACAACAGCGAAAGAAAAAGGTAAACCGGAGTAACAGGGATTCAGGAAAAAGAAAACTTGGGGGAAAGTAATATTAGTTGTACCTCAAGCCATTGTAATATGCTATGCCCACGTAAATCTAGTCAGTCTTGTTGAATGCGATGTCAATTTTAGGAGAAATATAACCTTCTTAGTGTGCTCAAANCTGGGCTTTCTAAAACAAAAATCATAACTATTAGTTGTCATTGTTAGCCATGAATTCAAAACTTAGCTCAAGAAATCAAAACGATATTGCGTAGACGCAAAAAATATGCCATTATTACAGGTTTTGAATTTTCACTATTATGGCTGACTTGAATTTTTAATTTCAAGTTCGTTCTGTTTATCAATATAAATAAGATTTTTTAATTAAGTTTACCTAGATCTTGAGCCAGAATTAGGACTAGAATTGATTGCCCCTTTGAAAAGTTAAAAAAAATTAAAACAACAGCGAAAGAAAAAGGTAAACCGGAGTAACAGGGATTCAGGAAAAAGAAAACTTGGGGGAAAGTAATATTAGTTGTACCTCAAGCCATTGTAATATGCTATGCCCACGTAAATCTAGTCAGTCTTGTTGAATGCGATGTCAATTTTAGGAGAAATATAACCTTCTTAGTGTGCTCAAACAGTCACTATATAGTACGGACCTAGGTAACTAAATCCACTGAATATGATCACCGTTGGAGTCACGGCTAAGATGTATGTCGGTCTCGTCTCACAGTACTGATAAGTGAATAGATGATTGTACATTTGCATACTTACTTGAAACACCAACTTTGATCAAACAACGTCAAGCCATTTATCGCGTAAGTTATCTCCGTATCCTAACAACGCCATGAAAATGTGCAGGTGAATAAATATCGTGATCACAAAGAGTGGAGCTGAATATATCAGACTCTCTGTGTATTTAAAAATGTTAATAACTAATCGAAAAAGGTCGGAAAAGCTCAAAAAGTACAATCGACTTCCAACTTTTTTTTTGGCAATCTTCTCGATCTGTTTCAATAAAAGAAATCGGGCCTCCTACTCTTTTGATTACAGAGTGTGGGAAGTTTAACGAATGTTTATAAGCTATGTTTAGATCTCTTCCAGGTGTGAGGAAGACACAATTTGTTGGGTCATGTATTTGACGCTTATGTGTGGATATTTTTGACAACTAAACATAGCCCGTATGACGTCATTTAGTTAACTGTAATCTATTTTATATTGATTACATTTTCATCAAGGGGAAATCATCTTTCATCGTCAAATACCTGACCAAGTTTTAGTACAAAGTGAACAAATTACTTTGAGCCATCAAGTCTTAATCCTGAAGAAGAATTTTCAGGAAAACCCTCACCACTTTTTGACGTCCGTATTCCGGATGCACCTCCTCGTATCATCATTCCCAGGCCGCTCCCGTACAAGCCCGAATTTTATTAATGCTTCCTTTCCGCAAATACAAAAGCTCCGATCATCTTCTTTCTCTTAATCTTTCACTTTTCTCACGCGTTATCTTTTGCATTAGCTGAAATGCTATAGTATACAAAACCAAGTCTTCCGCGGCTGCATGGTTAAAGATCTTTTTAATCGATGGGAACTATGCTATGTGTTCTGATCCAATAGAGAACATTCCGACTCTCCGGAGGTCACATATTGAGTGTGAACAGTATCACCGGGCCATTTTTATTTATCAGTAAATATAAACAATCTTCCAATTTCAGTTATCTAAACCTCTAATTTTTTCATATTACAATACCGTGCTTCATGGATACATTAAAAATATGTCACATTGTCGAAACTTTCAACGTACGATTTATCCCCGGGGGGCACTTGGGTATTTTTTGGGTAGGTATGTGCCGCCCGGGACTCCTAACTGGCACCCCGTTCTAAAAAAATTCCCCTAAAATTGATACCACGTTCTAGAATTTGCCCTGAAACTGATACCCCGTTCTAGAAATGGGCCAATTTTTTATACTCCGTTCTAGAAAGTTTGTAAATTGAAATAGCCCTGTTTTTTAAAAAGATATTTCTTTATTTGTTCGCCTTATACATGAAATAAATGCTTCTTCATAATCATCCGGTGTACGTTCCTGTGCATGTGGATACAATGCGGTTAATTATGACGCAAAATCTCTCACCACGCACAGAACCAGTTTGCCCGATAACGCATTGAACCGTATTTTTAAAAGCAATCTGTCCTTGATTAATTTCAAATGGCTGCTTACAAAACTGGAGCTTTCGTGCGTTCGAAATATTATACCCCGTTCTAGAAAACGCCTCTGAAATGGGAAATGGATACCCCGTTCTAAATCAAGAGCTTCAAAATCACGACCCCGTTGGGCGGTACATACCCGTATAGGTAATGTATGGGAGTACCCCCCGGGGGGGATTTATCATCTGCACTTCAGAGAGGTGTACCAGTTGCCTTCTTAGGTTAAAGCCCGAAATACGCAAGGATGTGCATGTTACCAGAAAGAAAGATCCCTTATAATCTACCAATATTCCCTACATAAAAACATGTACATACTTCCAGTATTTGCTGAACATAAGCTCTTGAGACTATGGCTCGAGCTAACCCTTTTATGAAACACGCATATGTATCCAATTTGCCGCAATGCCCGGACACGAAGTCGGGTCCTGAAATTAACGTCTTATATTCCCCTTTATAACGAACTCCTATTCAGTGGACACCTCTATTAAGCTGACGCGGAGACTAATATAAATTGTTTTTTGCAATTTCTATTGTTAAAAAAAAACTCTATTAAGCGGACACCGGACTGAATTGATAATAGCAGTGTTGGATTCTTGCGATAAATCAATACTTTTACAGTCTAACCTCTCCTAATACGGACACCTCTCCT